CCAGACGTTTAATTTAAGTTCTATTAGTATGTAGCTAATTAACAACAAAATTATGCTGATACGAGGACAGATGATGTACAGCTTGTTTTATGGAAAGTTAATATCACAGAAACAAATATTTCATTATTCATTGTCACTGTAATATACCAACAAGTATATCATCTAGTTCCAAACATAACTCGTACTTTATTATTAAAAAGTTGTGTTGTTTCATATCTAAATAGCAACAAGAGTGTATGTTGATACAAGGATTGTAATAGGTGATGTTCATACGACACTAGCTTGTTTTTTAAAAAGTTAAATATCACAAACGAATATTTCATTATTCTTCGTCACTGTAATATACCGATAAGAGTCTAAGATAAACATTATGCATATGACTGTCACCTAGTTTCAAACATAACTTGTTTTTTATTAAAAAGCTATTTTGTTTCATTTCCTTGTATTTCACTGTATCTTGTAATAAACTGCATTTTCTTAATTTTTTGTCTATTTTTATTGCATATTTTAGTATTTTGGTGTATTTAATATTGGTAAATATCTTACTATGTTGATCTTAATTTTCATCTAGTAGTTTAAATCTCTTCATTTACACATACTACAAACATACGAAACTCGCGAAAAAAAAAAAACCTTATCTGTACATTTTGAATATGCTGATTCAAAATCCCTTTCAAGATTTCTCGTGCACATACAGAGATAGTGAATAGTTTAGCCTGAAAAATCGAGGTATGCTGTTGTGGAATACAACGCAGTTACCTGCAGCACTTATTAGGTCTTAAGACCCAATGTGCATGCCACTAAGAGTCTTGAGAGGTCTGTGCTATATGCGAAGGCAAGCCAAGCACTAGCTCTGCTGGAATCTCCCTAATGTCCTGAAGTAACAGCTGTGTTAGGCAACATTTCTAGATGTTGCCTCCATGTATTCGTGTCTTTTCACGCTATTAAGCAAGCACAATGCCTGCAGTACTCTAGGAGCTCGAGATGTATCTCAAAGCTGAAATTGCTATTAGCAGATAATGCAGTTAATTGTTACTTCTGACCCATGCACTTTAAGAAAGGGACACGAGTGGTGCAATGGCAATAAAGAAGCTAACCAGTTAGTCAGGAGTGCATCGGGTCTCAATATTTTTGGACCTGGTCTCCAGTGTGCTTCCGCTACCAGCACTTATTGAAATTATTAAGCAAAACACAAGAGGTTGTGAAACGGTGGGATGATACAAATAGCTGTCAATTTGCTAAGGAGTTAGAATATCCCAGCAAGGATACAGCCAAAAAATACCTGGCCATGTCTAGGTCAAATCTTCACCTAGTGACAGGTATTCAAACTGGACACTGCTGGCTAAGGAAGCACCTTTACAACATGAGGAAGTGTGAAACACCTCTTTGTAGGGGTTGGGAACAGGAAGACGAGAGTATTACATGTGCTGTGGGAGTGCACTGCCATCTCGTAAACAAGAGAATCCGTGTTGGGAAAACGTAGGCCTTCTATGGCCTATATTAGAGAGATCCCCCTGAGCAACGTCACCACCTTTTTCTCTGTAATAGGTTGGCTGGCGGCTCAAGTGGATCGATCTCCTAATGGAAGCAAGTACAAGGGGCCCAATGGGGCCTAAGTGCTGTAGCTTTTTAGCTACCCTCCCTAAAATTCCAGAACTACCACAAAAGCGCTCTTTCAATCCATAGCTGAAACCTATATGTGCAGAGAGGCCTGGGGCTGATGAGCATCATCATTAATGACAATTCCAGGGAAGCGATGATCAACTAAGTGTCCAAGTGCTTTCTCAATAGTACGAGTATATCTACCAACAGGAAACCTAATAAACCTCTATCCTGGATTCATGGTTTCAATTCATAATTTTATACATTCTTAAATGGATTGTTAATAAGAAATTAAAAATTAATTATAGGTAGGTATAGGTATGAAGAAAATTTCATTTTGTGGAAAATAAAAACCTGATTATCTTTCACTTGATTACGAAAAAGGATAATTGCACATATACGCAATAACCCTTTTTCAAATCTCAAGATCACAGTCTATTTTAAATTTAGATATTTTTCCGCCACGAAAGTTCTCTATGTAGGCTTAGAAATCATCTCTGGAAAAACGGTATTGGTAATACTCTAACTCCCCAAAGTCCTTATTGTCCTAATATAAAAAAGAATAAACAAAATTCCTTTATTTCCAGGTATGCAATCTATAGATGCGGAACGCACCCCAAACGCAAGAAGATTCAATTTGCGTTCGATCGTACCGTCATCAGTATTTGAAAATTCAGTCTTTCTGGTTCCGAAGGATCAATGAATAAGTTTTTTATCTACATTACATTGGCTGAATGCCTGTACTTTAACAAATAGGACATTTTTTAGGGATCACGCCATAATGCATATTTCACAGTTACGCGATCTAGACTTTAAATCAATATTTTTTTCCAAAATGACCAAAATGACGGGAAATTGTCAATTTGTGAATATTCCAGTTCCTCTCCGATTCTTCCAATATGAAAGAAAGTTTTTAAATTTGTTTATTTCTCAGTAGGTTCGGAACGCACCCTAAACGGGAGAACATAGTAATCCGTTTGTTTAAAACGACCAATCACAACACTCCTCGCAACAATAAGCTGTAACGGCCATAACGACCATTTTGTTTCATCTTCGCATGGTAATAAGAATAAAGCAAACGATTTGCTGAAAGTCTATAAATTTAGTTATTTCTTTCCGTACGTAGAAAAAAATTTAATATGTCTAAGCGCACAAGTCCTTACAAATTAGATGAAGAGGCGGGTACCTCCAAGCGCAGGCGCAGAGACGTTGGAGAAGGAACCTTAACCTCCGCAGATGATGGTAATTTAATTTAAACTATTTTTCAACTTCTCCGGAAATATATAAAATAAATACAAAATTCCTTTACCGCTTTTTACATTTATAAGGTGACCAGATTTAGAAATTGGTTAAGAGGTCACAGATCCTACTCCCAGCCAACCATTTTATATTTCAAATTTTTCTTCCGGTTTATTGAACTCTTGAAAATAGGAACTATCAGGAATTAATTTTTCGAAATAACAGAATTTTAGTAATATTTTTGTACTTCATTCTCTGCCAAATAAAATGATTAACTATTTTATCGCTTAATGTACTTTCAGGTAAAAGTTCTTCAAAACATTGATATTTACATCTTTCACAAATTTGGATTAAGAAATTTTCAGAAATTTCCAAGAAATTAAATTATGGAGTTTTAAAAAGGATGTACACCTTATAAGACAATAATTTGAAAATAAGGTTCTGACCTTTTGACCTTTAATTTAGTGGTTGTTATAATTTAGATTTACTGTTTGTTGCTTATTTACGAAAGTTATAAATGAATATAAAATTACAAAAACTCATGTTATATCTAAAAAATTTGGACATAAATTCCAATATCCCTTTCGAAAGAGAATTCCAAATTCCCCAAAGGAGAACATCTGGTCACATTATTAATTTAATAAACCTTCCTATTCCAATTTTTAATATATTTGTGTCTTTATTTAAATAACATATACCTAGTATGGAAGTCATTTGTTAATTTCAAATACCTTTCGGTGAATTAGTCTTTCCTTTAAACTGTACCTGGAATAAGAAATTGTAAATAAATATAATGATCATCAGTATCCAAATTTCAATATAAAGAATATAGAAAATCACAATATATTCTGCATGTAATATAGAAATCTCAATTTATTACAGAAATTTTTCATATACATCTCAAAATGTACTAGGTACTATGACAAATAATCTACCGATTACATCCAAAGTTAAATTAACTAATTTTCTAGAATGTAATGTGCTTACAAAAAGTTTGTTTTGGCAGTAGTCATACAGGATATGGAAACAATTAATTTTATTTTGCATTTGGCAGTGGTGGGCGGATATTTCTTATAGATTTCAAACAGTTTCAAAACTTCTGGCTAAAATAAACATAAACATATTTTTGTTACCGAATAAAGAAAAAAATGTTGCTATGTAGAGCTGTATGGATACTGTTTTGCAATAAATACTATAAATAGCTTATTTCACATAATCAAAGCTGTCGAATATGAATTACAATATCACATGAAATAGTCTGTGTAATGACAATAGTCTATATTAAGAAGTTTTATCTATTAAGTTTATGAATAAATTTCTTCTTTTAGATATTATCAATTTTGGACATAAAGATATAATGTGTAAGTCCATGAAGTCTTTGAAATACTTTTTATAGTCAAGGGTTACACCTTCTAACATTAAAACTTGAAACATTATATGTAACTAGGTTCTATAGCAATTCTCTTCACATAAGAATTTATTTTATGAATTAGGAGACAATGATAACATTAAAAATTAAATTAGAAAAAGCCCTTACATGTTTTTTAAATTTTAAACAAAAATGTAAACAGTATAACCTCAATAACAAATGTAAATTTAACATATTTATGATAAAAATTAATATGTGTGTAATTTTATATAATATTTTTATTTACCTATTTACTTATAATGTTGTTCGTTCTTCTATATTGTGTAGGTAATTGTAATCGTTATAGTTGGTTGTTGAAACAAAAACATCTCGTATCTCGTATAAGTCGTATACAGTATGATCTAATAAACACAATACGTGTGCATATAAAACGAATAAAGCATCACTTATAATGCTCATGAATCTTATAGATTTTTGTGGTATTAAAACTCATCGTCACAAACTCTGGTTTATATATACTATATAACATACAATAAGAAAATAGAGATAATTTTATTTCAAAATAAATTTGAAGACCAAGAGTAGTTCTGTGAGGTATAAATTTCGGAACGTTCTATAAGCACTAGCGACACAATAAACATCTGTCTTCAACTACTCTGATACTGTGAAGTGATTGGACATTTTAAATTAAATAGCCAATAGAAAATGTGAATAAGTATTTATATATTTTGGCAAACTCTAAACAAAAAGGTTAGCTAAAATTTAGGTTAGTTGATCGTCGCGATGCGCGTTTGGTGGTCGAAAAACCGGGAAAGTGATTGAATATATACGTATTATATATTTGTTATTAGTGTAAACAAAGTGTAGTAATAAGTATTTTGTTGTGCCAAAAAAATAAAATTAAATATGTCCAAACGTACACCTAAAAAAATTACAGACTATTTTATATCACCGGCTGTAAAACGCAAAAGAAGTGAAAACTCTTCTGAACAGGGTAGGTTGGCTATTGTAAAATAATTTCACATATTTAACGTGTTGATGTAGATAGAACTGCAAATGTGATTTAATAACAACATTTTGAAAATCTTAAAATATGTTATTGATTCCATTCTTGTTTAAAAAAAATTATAATTATTACCCCTAGTTTATTACCCCTGTTTTAAATTATTAACACATCTGCATCAGTTTTTGGTACCTACCTAAATTTTACAGAAAGGATCTATCAGAATCAACATGGTCAAAGTGTCCCTTTATCGATTTCAGTATACAGGGTGTCCCAGTGTCGGCGTACAAAAGTTTCCACAATAACTCAAAAACCCTTTCAGGGATTTAAGTAATTCTTGGGTGAAGTGTTCAAGGGCATTAAAACTACATACTGCTTATTTCGATCTGACGCCAGGGGCGGCATAGCCATCTTGTCCTCAAGGTTATGTCTTCATATGTCATAGTTTTATGTAATTTAAGTTTTCCTGAATCTGCAATCGATTCTAAACAGAAAATGTGCTCTTGTTTCATAGCTCAAAAACAAACCGTTTTCGAGTAAATTGGGTCTAAAGTATCAACTGCATTAATTCGTAGAAAAATACATGTAAAGATTTTATTTAACCTGTCATTATAAAAATCAAAGTTATTTTCCGTTGAGGTACAGTTCCCCATGTAGTTGCAGTTTAATGAATATGAAGAAACTTACATTTCTATGAATTATTTAATATTTTGTTACATCTAGGGGAACTAAAAGTAAAATTGAAAATTATGGAACAGAAATGATATTATGTTAGCAAAATGACAATATTAAAAATAAAAATAGAAAACAATTATTTCAATAAATGTTCAAAATGCTGCCCATTTAGTTCAATGCATGCCCGACGTTTGACCAGGAATTGTGAAGCCTTCGCAAATCAGCAGTTGGTTAAATTTGCTCGGCGGTTGCTTTAAATTTTTGAAGTAAATCGTCTCTAGTGTTACTGGGTTTTGCATACACCAATTGCTTCATATGACCCCAATAAAAAAAATCAAGCGTGTTGAGGTAAGGGAACCCGGGAGGCCACATAATAGATCAATTTTTTCCAATCCAGTGTTCTGGAAAATGTAAATCGAACCACACAGATACCTGTTTTCCATTACGAGTAGGTGATCCATCTTGTCGGTAGTACATTGATTTCGCAAAGCTAATTGAACGTCATCTAGTACACCAACAATATCTTCTAAAAAATTCGTGTATCTCTCTGAATTCAAACGGTCTACAATAATTTGAGGAGGCAGAATGACTCCGTTGAAGATTCTTCCCCAGACATTTATTGAGAATCTTCTTTGAAATGCGGAGGGTCATATCACTTGTGGATTTTCAATGGACCAGACATGAAAATTTTTTAAATTATTTATACCATTTCTCGTAAAGCTAGCTTCATCGCTCCACAATACCTTTTGAAGGAAATTTTTGTCATTATCCATATTTTCTAAAAACCGTCTGCAAAATTGTATCCTTTTTTTGGGATTACCAGGATGCAAAGTTTGTACTTTGGTGGTATGGGTGCAGTTCTTCTCGGTTTAAAATTATCCAGACGCTGCCTCGTGGAATACCTACTTGTCTTGATATTCTTCGGACACTGGTGGAAGGATTATCAACAACAGCACCTATTACATTTTCTTCTAAAATGTTTGCATCTTCCAAATTACCTCTTATTCTGGTATTTCCAATTTGAACACTCCCGGTCTCAAGGACTCTTTGGAAAACTCATTGGAATACGTGCTGTGAAGGTTTCCTTCTGTTTGGAAACTTGCGTATATATTCTCGTGATGCCGCCAATGAATTTTCATCACAGAAACCGTAGACATATATCATATCGGCATATTCGTTGTTGGAAAATTCCATAATACTCAATATCTTGTTGTTTTGGAAACTTAATTTCTCGTAACTTCAAGTACTGTAATTAATTTTGACATGTACGCTTGTAAACATCTTTGGTTTTTTATAATGACAGGTACCTACTAGATAACAACAAATAAAATCTTTACACATGCATTTTTCTACGAATTAATGCAGTCAATACTTTAGACACAATTTACTTGAAAACGGTTCATTTTTGAACTATGAAACAAGAGCACATTTTTTGTTCAGGATCGATTGCAGATTCAGCAAAACTTAATTAAATTACATAAAACTAGGATACGCAAAAGTTATGAGGACATAACTTTGAGGACAAGTTGGCCTAGGCCACCCCTGGCGTCAGATCGAAATAAGCACCATGTAGTTTTAATGACCTTGAATAGATGTACACTTCACCCAAAAATTACTTAGATCCCTGAAAGGGTTTTAGAGTTATTGCGGAAAGTTGTTATTATTTTCTCTAAACAACACCCTGTAACTCAGTGAGAGTGCATCGCAAAAAAATATTTTATAAGAATTTTAATCTTATTATCTGGTCTACCCCCTGGTAAATTTTTGTACCCTGACACTGGGACACCCTGTATGCGTTCTCTAAATATTTAATTTTGAGGAATTTTAGATCTGAATTTCTTGTCAAATGAGATATAAGGATATTGTCCTTAACAAGATAGGAAACCATTGATAAATACTTATCTCACTTTCCATAGTTTTATCTCATATAATTTTTTGGGGTAGCTTTTGCAGACAACCCCTGAACTCCTTCCAAAAAAAATCATTTAGTTACGCTCCATTTGTTAATTCTCATTTGCAAAGATTTCAGAAGTACATGATGGCACACAGTTAAAAAATTGAATAACTTCATAACATGAGATACTATAATATACAGTAACTTAAATAAGTAAAAATTTTTCTGAAGCTTGAGAAGAAAAGGTCCATGGTCCTATATTAAAGTTCTTATAATAATATAACATTTACTTAAATATCTTTGAGGATGTTTGACTAATGTAACTTAGGCTAGTGACTTAACTGGGTAACACTGACTATCTTGGAAATTTGATGGGTGTATTTGATTCCTAATTCCAGAAAACATACCATTTTTGAGTTATAATTGGTTTTTTTTAGTCGAAACTAAGCATTCAACACAGTTAAACTACTCGTTTTACAGAAAAGATACACCTCTGCCCCTTCAGTTTGTTCATAAAACTGATCCCTAATGGAGAAGGTCCATCTGATGCACACCTTTCCCAAGTCTACAATTTTTTCATTCTTTGTCTTTTACATTGAGCCTTCAATGAAATTCTTCTTAAGGCGCTTTTGTCAATAACAATGACATATCAAAACTAACTAGGATATTATCTAGATCTAGTTGGATTGCCCTGATCTTGTCAATAAAATCACCAGTGTTTTCAACTTAATGTTCCATCTTTCCCACGTCTTTAATTTGGTGTGACACATATCGAGCGAGTGGGTGAGTTACTGATACAAATGCACTATACTGTACCACTCACTCTGCAGGGTACGTTTGGCTTGGCAATAAACTTCAAAAAGAATTTCTTCTGAAGAAAGCTATATGTCTATTGTAAGATCAAGTAGTGTAAACTGAATGATAACCGACTTGATAACCAACCTGGAAAATATTCAAAAGCTTATAAACCAAACTGTTTGTAATTATATCTTAATTTAGAAGTACTGTAATTGATTCTCTGTACTTCTAGATAATTCTAATAAGTATAGACTTAAGTATCTTTATTTAATAAGTTTTATGGATGATTTTATTAAAATTATTGATTTGTTTTATAGCTGTCTCTATTAAATCTTTCAAAATTCGTAGTTATTGGATTTGCTTAACAGTTTTATATTAATCTCTGTATGTATCTGACCAAAATGAAAACTTCAGCAGTATCAGCCAAATACAGTGCGTTCCAATTCAAATGAATAGAGTCATATTCACAAGGATGATACGGAAAAATAATAATATGGATAGTAACGTCATGGGTATTGCTTTGAAGCTGCACCAGTCATTTTACCCACGTACCAAGATTCTTAGTTCATAATTTATTACACATTGCAACATTATACCATCATTTTTTTTTAATACACTTGCCCATAATTAATTACATATAAGCGATCAATTAAAGTTCGATTTGAATCTTCATCAGTTTCGTTAATATTGCAGTAATCTATTAATGCGAACACAGCACCTAATTTTTACTGACAGAATCAAGAAAATAGATAATTTGTATGGAATATAAATATAAGCTGAATTAAACAAATCTATTGATTGAGACATTTCTAAAACTCAATCAAGCTTAAGCCAAAATAAGTAATATAAAATCTTTTTGAAGGCAAACAATGAATTGTCTGTGCTCAATTTGTCATGACGACTTTAAAGAAAATTTCCTGATATTTTCATTTTTATAAAAAAAATATATCATTTATTACTAGTTTTTCGCAGCCAATTCTTTTCCAGTGATTGTCGTTTTTCTTTCTCTTTGATGATGGTATAATAGCCGAAACTAGTAGGTACGGAAAATAAATGTTTATAATGAATTAAGAGGACCCCATTTACCCCATCACACTTCCCGCCATTTAGTATTAAGGTGAATTTTCATCAAGAAGGAAATACTTAAATGTATTTTCAACCTATCGATACCATCACGTTTGTTAGAGTTACTGACTCTCAAACCTAAAAACCTTATACAGAAACAATAAAGCTTGGTTAATTTTCCTATTTTATGTGGATGTTTAAAACATTATATTTTTTCAGGTTTATATGTTATATAATAACATGTTTAATGTGGAATACTGTTGTATTGTTAATAATTACATGGTTGGTTAAATAACAAACATTTTGTGTAATTGTTGGTTTTAATGAAGTGCAACAATTTTTAAGAATTCTCTATTCAGTTAGTTTGAATACATTAACCCTTCTGGTATATCTATTATATTTTTTGCAAGTATTTTTTATTTTATTTAATTGTAAGTAAAGCATTTTAAGTGAATGTTGAATAGCGACGTTTTAAAAACAGTGATTGGTTGAATTGAATGGAAGGGTGTGAATATAGCTAGCCGTGGAACATAGTTGGCGTGGATTTGAAATCAGTTGCTATTGTTGCAAACTGTCAACAGACGCCGAAAAGTCGTTCGAAGTGTGTGAAAGAAAAGTTTTGTTACATTCGTATAAAAAACATGTCTAAACGCGAAGATTTATCAGAAAAGCGGGACGATTCCTGCGCGCCAGCACCTAAACGGCGCAGAACTAATGAGGAGGCGGCCACGGAAGGTAAATTTGGCGCTCAATAGGCGGCCGCCATCTCGTTTGATATTTTCATTAGATATAATTTATAAAAAAAATATGGTTTTATATATTTTTTTGGTTAATAGAATTGCAATTTTGAATGTACATAATTTTAATACATTTACGTTATTCTAATTTATTGGTTAGAATGCCCCCGATATAGGGCTTATGCTGCAATTACCGCATATTTTCAAATCTTCTCTTGTAATTTTCAAATTTCTATAATCATGCTTCCTTTCTTGTGCTTATTGCACATTTGTATACTGTAACTAATAAAGTAACTACACGAAATGTTACATTTGGTCATATTTAATTAAGGAAAATGATTATTGACAACATATAATGATTTTAATGAATCTGTTGAAATATAGAGAAAAATTGACCATTTTAAATATTCATTAGATCATTTTCGAATACGATCAATCAATTGTGGTCATTGATATTGATCATTTTTGGTAAGTGACTGCCATTATGTATAATTATAGTGTAATGATTTAATTGTGTTAAATATATAATATGAAACTTTCATGAATTCTGATCTTGCAAATTATAACTATTGATCATTATCAGAATTGTGGGCCACAAGCTAATATTTATTTAATCAATATACTTTTTTTAACATTATATGAAGAATAAGAACTATGGTGATCCATAACAAATATAGTTTTGCTTTTGTTGTTATGCAATTGCAGAAAATTACTTAAAACTTCTTTTAAATTTATTAATTTTAAAATATGTATTAACATAACAATTAAAATTATCGATTAATATAGAAATACATGTTTTTATAACTTCAGCCAATACAGCATCTTGCTCCTCAATCACTCAGGAATCATCTGAAACCCAAATGGGACAAGTTCAACCACAGACACCACCAAAGGAAACAAAACGTCCTGGCTCACAACAATCTGAGGGTGAGTTTTTTTTTGAGAAGATTCTGTATTATCTTGTTAAGCTAGAAAAGTTGTATCTCTAAAAATGAAACAGACTTTTTTTGATAACTTTAATTTTTGACATGATCTCTTATCTTCAGTGCACGTGGTTATCATTTGCAAAGTGACTCCCTTGGAGGTGTTTTTTCAAATTTCTAAATAAAAAGAAATCAGACAAAGCCAACTTCGGATTATAGCTCCAGAGGACATTTTTTAAGGCAAACCAGGATGTTTTTGGTTAATACATAATTTTATTAACATATTACATAACGAGCGTTCAAATAAAAACGTGGTCGAAGTTGGCTCTGACACATTGGACGTAGGGAGTAGCTTATAGCGACCAACTTAACCTCATTTCTCAATGAGCTGTATAGCAGCTGTCAGTTTCAATAACGTTAATGACTATATAACTTTATTTTAAAGAATAATCGTGATAACAATAACAAACAATTAAAGGAGCTGCGGAAAGTGTCCCCCTCCTTGTTATAACAATAAATTAAAGCAGCTGCTGAAAGTGTCCCCCTCCTTGTTCCAAGCACTTTTCACACCTGTTCCTCAAAGAATTAAAGACATTTTCTAAGATGCTCGGGGTATTGTTAATTTCACGAATCTTGTCTATAAGTCGAGCCTGCAGATGGTTTAAATCAGGAATAGGCAGTTCAAAAATAGTGTTTTTAAGGTAAGGCCACAAAAAGAAATCACACGGCGTAATATCACATGACCTCGGTGGAAATTCATGTTCAGCATTGAGACTTATTAGTCGATTTTGGAAAACTTCCCTCAACATATTCATCGTCTCGCCTGCCGTATGTGCCCTTGCGCCATCTTGTTGAAAGTAAAAGTTTGTAATTTCGTTTTCTTCCAGCTGGTTAACAAAAGGAGCGATAATTTCTTCTCTATACCTTTGCGCAGTAAGAGTACCATTAAAAAAAATAGGTCCATAAATCCTCCTTCGATTGAGAGCACACCAAACTCCAATTTTTTGAGCGTGTAGAGGGCCCTCGACAAAAAAGTTATCTGGTTTTTCAGAAGACCACATTCTCATATTCTGTGAGTTTACGTAACCACTTAAATGAAACCAGGCTTCATCAGAAAAAAAGGTGATATTATGAAGTTCACCGTAGTTGTTTAAAAACCATTCACAAAATACAGCCCGTCGCGGAAAATCAACTTCATGAAGTTCTTGCTGACAAGTTAAACGATAGGAGAACAAACGCAAATCTTTTTTTAACACTGTGTGGCAGGTACCGACTGATACTCCCACCATTTGTGATAAAACACGTACAGAAGTTCTTGGCGCATTTTCCATTATTTGTTGGACATTTTCTTTTAATTCTTCAGTCCGCTTTTTAGGTCGGCCGCTTCCTTCTTTTCTTGTTACACTGCCCGTTTCACGAAAAACATTAACACAACGCTGAACTGCACTTTGAAAAATTTTGTACTCAACAACGCCGGGAAATTGATTTTGAAATTCTATGAAACATTCCTCAATAGAATACTTCCATATTCCATCAATCTTGCGTCCATTTCTAAAGTAGGACTCTATGATAAACACTTTTTGTTCTTGAGAAAACACCATTTTAAACGCTTTTTAAAACGAAAATATTCAAATTGATAGCGGCGATATAGCGCTTTGACAGATGACGTTTAAGTTCATTTGCTATACGCTACGCCCTATGTCCAAATTTTCAGAACCAACTTGACCACGTTTTTATTTGAACGCTCGTTATATATATGTAACTGCTATATTGTAGTGTTCTTTGGCATTAACAAGAGCAATTTTTGCTTGGTTCCAAAAGACGCTGGCCATGAGCTTGCGAACACTACATGAACCTTAATTTTATTCTTGGATCCCAGTGATGTACCCAAGTTTCATCACCCCCTAACTGTCTTAGAGAAAAAGTTAGTATCTGCATCCAAATATTTCAACTTATCTTGAGAAAATTACTAAACGATTTCACATAAGAATTCAACAATTTGAAACTCACTTTGGTGAAACTTTACTCCTTCACTAGTTTAATGTATAAGCATTTTAAAACATCAATCTTCTAAAATCATTTTTTTTGCTTTCGTGCAAACATTGGAATTGGTTGTGTCTTAAGGCCTTTGACTTCTTGGGTTATTTTCAATGGGTTTATGTCCCCATCCCCATCGTCTTGGCCAGTATTCTACTTTGAGAAATGATGGAGTTTCATCCTCATATACTGCAACCTTGTGTTTATGAATATTTTAGGACTATTCTGTTCTTTTGTAAAACTTTTGACATTGTGATGATTCAATTTCAAAAACTAATTTTTTGATACAAATCGAATTAGATACATAAGTAGAAAAAAGTAGTCATTATTGAAGGTTACTAGGCAACACACATTAAATTATTTCTATCATGGTAGATATGTTTTCTAGTACCTACGGTACTCATGTAATAAACCATTTCTAAAATAATGTAGTACTTGATGAGAAAACAAGACATCCTTTATATAAGTATACATACTGTATACATACATTTGATTTATAAAATGTATTTTTATTCAAGCTGCTTCAGAAGGAAACCAAAATGAACCTGCCAGTGATAGCCGCCCTGCATCCAAAGGGAAAATAAGTAAGGCTGTAATATGTTACTGTTATTAATGCATTAAGAGTTATTAGACATAATTTCTACAATTAGAGAGTTCTACAAAATGTTTTTTTTTTTTAATCCACAGGTGCTTCAGCTTCCCAAGAAAATGTTGGAGTAGCCGGCCCTAGTGGTGAAAGTAAGTATTTTTAATATAAAAATAATTTTTTTGATGCATATGCAGGGGGATATGCTGGATATGGATATGGATATGCAGAGAGGAATTATTGATGTAATTATATAATCAAGTCTATAAATAATATACAGGGTGGTCTATAACGCAGCCCCACAAGAAAAAAAAGTCGTGATGTGGATGACTGACCATGGTATTCCTATGTATTTTTCAACGCTGAATCTGAATCTGAGGTCAAAAAAATTCGTATACCCCTTAAATTTGTATGTAGAGCCAAAAACATCCCTTAAATAGGGGTAAAGTTATGAATACCAATATCATTACGGAGAGGAGTATAAATGGGCACTTTGCAACCCTCATGCTCTCATTTTATATTGTCAAGGGCTCCACCGAAGGGATTGGTACTCCTTTTACACCCATTGTACTTCTATACCCTTCCGAACATAGATCTGCGTCATGAAAGCTTCTAGCTTACAAGCTCTTGAAAATGCAATGGAGACATGGTGGAGGGTGAACACAGCCATAGAACAAACCCCCTAGAGGGGTGAACTACCCTCTGCTGGACGGGGTGAAGGAAGATATGGGAGATCAAATTTTTCTTGTTTTTGCTGCGCAATGGTCGTAGTGCATTGAACAGAACAGCCCTTAACTGCTTTGCCCGTATCCGTCTAAGGGGTGGAAACTACCTATTTTGTTCTTCTTTTATTTTATCGACACTTGTTATTTCTACACAAAAATTTTATGGGTATACGAATTTTTTTGACCTCCGATTCAGATTCAGCGTCGCAAAATACATAGCAATACCATGGTCAGTTATCCAGATCACGACTTTTCTTTCTTTTTGTGGAGCTGTGTAATGAATGGGTATTAGAATAACTATAGACTGTAGACATCCTAAAAATAGGATTAAATTTCAAATTTATTCCATAATACCATAATCTATAGTGAAAATGTTGTAGAAACTTGAAACAGGATATTTTTGATAGTGAGAAATCCAAATATGTAGAGGACACTAGTTACACACTGTTGAAGTTATATTTCATCGTAACATTTTTATGCAAAGCCATATCAGGATTTTAAATAAATAATTTGATTGGCTTATTTTTTTAAATTAAAAAGGTATCCGAATTGATGTCAATAAACTACTCTGGTCACGTGATATTCTCACTTTAATGCAGTTTGAGACTTCTACATTCATCGTAAATCATCTGCCTAAGATTATTGATTTTTCAAGAACTGTAGAGATTGGCAAAGAAAAGTCACTCTTTTGCTGTCATTAGCATCAGTTTCACAAGACAAAACCTAATTGAGTTAGTGCCGAAATAATATTAGTAGTTGTTCGAAAGCATTTGCCAGCATTGTATCATTAAAGTGTGGATATCTCAAAATCGGAATGGTTTATAAAACAGGTATACCTTTTTTTCTTAAAGATAATCAGCTCTCAAATAGTATTTAAAATCCAGATGGGGCTTTGCATAAAAATGTTACTATGAAAGATAATTATGCAACGGTGTGTAACTAGCATCCTCTACACTCTACAAGATATCTTTAAATTAAGTTCACATCTGGATTTCTCAAAATCAAAAATCTCAAGTTTCTACTTGTAAACCTAAACCGCACGATTTTGGCATTTCAAAAAAATAATTATTTTAGGCACTTCCAAAGATGAAGGAACTAGCACACCAGAAGACAGCGCTGTTCAAACAACAGATGCCTCTACCACAGCAGTGGGTAAGTCATAATTTTTTAAACACAATAATACTGAAATTCCGTCACACATATGAATGTTTGATTTTTAGAATCGTAAACAGCGTTAATAGTTTATACATAGTATTTTATATGATCAACTGTACTGTGATTGAAAAGTACTTTTACTTTTTTTTATCGACAATTCATTAGAGATTAAAGATGGAGAATTTAAAATAAAAGGTTTAATTTTGTCTCAGATGCATTAGCAGGTTTTTCTTTTGATAAATTAGTGTCCAAAGAAGTAGTATTCAAAACTATTATTTATAGAGAATTGTTATTTAACTTGGTAGCTTTGGTGATATTTCAATATTACTAAATACTTTTGCTTATGCAATAAACCAAATGACAGAATATGACTTACCAAGTCTGTTGCAACAGACTACAATTTTATATACAACACGTGTTGATTGTCTTTACTCCCCAGAGACGTATTTGGACAAACCTTAGTAATATATAATTATTATAATTTATATTTTTTTATTTATCTACAGACACATCAACTGCCGCACCGAGGCGCAGAAGAAGGGGTAAGTCATTACTTATAATTTAAAAATTCAGTTATATAAAGTAGTGTACACATTCATCGTATAAAAATATAATTTAAAATTTCCCAATTTCCCTTTTATGGTGTGAACCTTTCAAATTTTGTATTTACACACTGTATATAAGAGTATTTACAAATTTTGCAATAACGTTTTTTCCCCTTTGTTTGGCAAAATCAGACTAATATCTTTTCATACAGAGAAAATAATCTTTTCCTTTTAAGTTAATCAGTCATGTTGTGTACAGTCAATTCTAAATGTGTCCGCGTGTACCCCTCACTGTTACATACTAATACTTGTACATTGAGTATGTTAATAACAACCTGCTTTTGTCACTTTATTTGTACAAGACCAGTTATTAGAGGGTAAGACTTAACAAAAAATTTCATTTGTTCATATATTTTAAAGTGTTACCTACGTCAGTTCAAATATTGTGCTGCAGAAGACGGGCGGTGGAGAATTTAAAATCAAATATTTACGTTAACTTGAAACAACTAAATTTTCTTTTTAGGACTCCTAGATATATGCCACATTAACTAAAATCCCGCATTCCTCCCGTTTGAATAGTTTGAGAAAATTACTAGTTTATTTTTCGTGTTAATTTAACCATTTAGTATTTTATCGTTTTTAATTATAGCAAGGTTTATTAACCCACAAAGTAGGCTGTTAGTTTTATTTTCTTAAATTAATTTTCTTCTAAACAATTCATTATCATACTTATTTAAAAACAAATAGTTTCTATACTTCATTCACAGAACAATTTTCAAATATTGTCACACAAATGTTTTGAGTATTTAGAATTGCATCAGTTTTTGATCATCACTGTTTATCTTGATCTCTTCAGTAGCAGCCTGCTTTTTGTATGTAATTTGGTTATCAAAATTTTAATATTGATCACCAAAAGTTCCTTAAAAAAACATTGTGTAACCACTAATTAATATTCATTTTAGAATATTGAAACGTCTATCCAGCCTCCTGATAAGCAAGTATGATATCACCTCAACACCAATTCAGTATGTTAGAAGCCTATTACTGAGTAGAACTGATAGCATTACTTTTCTAGCAGGTGATAAACTCTTAATATACGGAAAAAGTGTTGTGTCGATGTCATACCGGTCCATCAGAGGTGATTAATTTGGATATGTTTGAATCAGTTTGTAAGCAATATTGTGTTTGTAAAATGTTCTACTAGCACTGTATCCCATTGATCTCAATAAAGCAGTTCTTGTAATTTCCTTGTAATTTCATTATAATAAAGTGAACTGATATACCAGGTGTTTCATGAAGTTCTCCCGGCACTAATAGAGGATGTTCCTTGGGTTATTTCTAGGAAAAAAGTTCATATATACATGTGTCCGATTTGATTTACTTATTGAGCTACACGAATTTGAAAATAAAATAATGGAAATTAATTTTCATTTTTATTTTTAGAACATTGATAATAGTGATACATACATTCTTAATTTAAAAGGTTTTCGAAAATTCCACCTCCTACTTCGATACATTTGTCAGCATGCCTGTGAATTGCTCGCGTTGCATTTCTAATATTCGCGTGCGTTTCTTTTATTTGCGTTGCAGCATTAACAATTCTTTGGATTAGAGCTTCGTGTATTTCCACTTTCTCTTGATAAACCAAATCCTTCATCCAACCCCACATGTTGTAATCTAACGGAGGTCTGGAGACCTAGCTGGCCAAATGTGGCCCACCTCGACCGATCAAGCGACCAGGCTCCTTTAGGTGAGCAGTGACAATTCGGGAAATATGAGGTGGAGCTCCATCATGTTGCAAGTACATTCTTAATCGTCTTGCCAGAGGTACATCTTCAAGCAATCGCGGGAGTTCTTCCTCTAAAAATTGTAGATACTTTGGACCATTAAGACAACCTTCAATAATAAATGGCCCTATAAATTGATCGTATAACATTCCACACCACACATTAACGCTAAATCTACGTTAAAAATTACTTTCTACGGTGGCATGAGGGTTAATATCCGACCATTGATGCATGTTATGGGTGTTGTTGATACCGTCTCTGGTAAATTGTGACTCATCCGTAAATAAGATGTAGCGATACAAATTCCTATTATTATTCAACCACTGCCAAATTCTACCCGCCTAGGGAAATCTTCTGGCTCCAGATGTTGAACACGCTGTAGATGGTATGGATACAACAGATTCTTGTTTAATGTTCTCCATACCCTGGTATTGGGAATCACTAAAGGCGTGGATATCCGTCGTGTACTAACACCGGGATTACGCTCGGCCATAGCAAGGATATTCTCTTCTACAACACTCTGCTGACTTACCCGTTCATAGTGAATGCCAACACTTGGAAGTGAACCAGTTTCTCTTGAGTGCACGAAAAGTTGTGGTAAACGTTTTCGGGGATGGAATGCGACGATTTGGGAAATGCCGTTGATATTCCAGTGAAGCTAGAGTAGCATTTCCATCGCAATTACCCAAAACAAACACCATATCGGCATACTCAGCAGTCGTAAACTTAAAAGGCATTGTTCGCGAATTTGCAAAATTGAATCTTCACACTAAACTGCAAGATTGTCAAAACTGACAGTAACCTAGATAACATTTTACCTTGCAAATGTCGTCAGAGCACACTTGACCAATGCGTAGCGCTCCGAGACGTAACACAACAAATTTGATTATTACTTTTTACATTTAAATTTCAAATTCATGTAGCTCACAAAGTAAAGCAAATCGGGCACGTTTAATTAAACTTTTTTTCTAGAAATAACCCAAGGAACATCCTCTATTAGTGCCGGGAGAACTTCATAAACTCCCGGTATGTTGCAGTTGCAAAAAATAAAAACAGAATATCCATGGCATTATTTTCTTGATTTCATCAATTTTAAAATATTTTGCGAAAAAGCAAAACTATTTTTCCTGAAACAATTCTGAAGGCCACTATGACCCTTCAAAGAGTGGATCTGAGATACACTTTCGCAAATTCACGAACCTTTGAAGAAAGAAATTTACTATTAAAATCTAATCAGTGATGTCAAAACAGGATGAGTTTGAGAACTTTCAGCTATCAAACAAAAAATTATTTGATATTAAAAAAATATTTTACATATTTGGATAGACTATTTCGGAATAAAACTTTAGTGCCTCTTGAGGCTTTTCTTGTAGAACGTAAGTCCAAGAACCATGATAACACCTAACATAAAGATTTTTGAACTTTTATTCACATAAATTGTGCATTACGAAGGTACAAAACATTTAATTGGAATACATTTTTTTTAACTACCAAATTTGAAATCTGTCTATGATGGTACTTCAGTAATTAACCAAAAACTATATTCCACTTTCAACCTTTGAAGAATGATTGAGGAATTGTTTTAGGAAAAAACATTTTTTTGTTTATTTCCACGAATTGAGTTTGTCACGATGTCACTATTATTTTGAAATATATTAAGCTAACAGGATGTACAGGGCAAAATGTAACACATTTTAAGCTTTTGTAGTCTTACTTTGAAAGGTGATATATATTCATTAAAAAAATAATTGGTTAGATTATTTTTATCTTGAATGATTTATTAATTATGGACCGACTTCATTAGATGAGTATATTAGGAAAATGTTTAAACTTGATTTGAATTAACACATTTCCAAGTTAAGAGAAAATACAAAAGCTAATATTTAAAATGTTTATTGTCACTGTTATGCCCTCTACAAAAGAGCACAGATAGATTAATAAAAATAGAAATAAATTACTATGTTTAAAAAAGAAGAACAAGTAGAATGTGAACTTAATAAGTTGAGATATCTTTACACTGGAAGTTGTGTTAAATCATGTCATTTTAACATGTAAGTATACAATTTATAAATCCAACAAAATTTCTTAAATTAATGGTAGAGAATGGAAAATATAATATACAGGGTGGTCGCGATGTAATGGGCCAAAATTCATGACTAGATTCCTGACGTGAAAATATTGCGATTTAGACAAACTCACCTTAGTCCAAAAGTTGATACTTACAGAGATACAGGGTGTTTAATGCAAAATATTATTTTAGTTTTTTCTTATTTATTTCATAATAAATGCTCATATCGAGATGAAATTTTGGTGTTAGGGGTTTTCTGGGGCGAGAGATTGAAATATATCCATGGTTTGCTTGTAGCTCATAGAGAGCGCCACCTGCGCTAGGTCGAATGCGTTGAAAACGACAGAACTTTTTTATCTTTCAAAAATCTAATTCTCAGGTAGCAAATTCTGATTTTACAACTTCTTTTACACAAAAAAGCTATACTTTTTGATAGTCGCTATCTTGCACCGTTCTCAAGATATTTAGCTTTGGTAATTCGAGTAATCAAAATAAGGTACGAATGTCAAAAAGAACAAGAGTTTATTTCAAATTATAAATTGTGATGAACAATTGAATATCGAATATTACAATAAATGTTCAACATGTCCGCCTCCAACTTCAATACATTTATTAACGCGTTTGTTCAAAGACTGCCGTATTTTAAAATAGAGATTCTTGTTACGAAATGATTCGGCGGCATTTACAATTTTCTGCCATAGCTCTTCGCGGGTGTTTATAGTTTCTCTATAGACAACTGATTTCATGTAGCCCCAGAAACAAAAATCCATAGGATTAAAGTCAGGACTACGAGGAGGCCATAATATTCGACTCCCACGACCGATCCAACGATCCGGAAAAATGTGGTCAAGATAGTTCCGTACTCTGACAGAATAATGAGGGGGAGCTCCATCTTGCATGAAAAATAGATTTTGCCGTGTATTCAGTGGTAAATCGTCGAGGTAGTCAACTAAATGGTGCTGCAGGAAATCTAAATACAAGTCACCATTTAGATTTGGAGGAAGCTCATGTGGACCCAAAAGGTGATTTCCTATGATTCCGCACCAAACATTTATCTTAAATTCATGTTGGAAGTGACGCTCACTGACTACGTGAGGATTTTCATTATCCCATATGTGCTTGTTTCTAAAATTGAAAATTCCTCGACGAGTAAAGGTCGCTTCATCAGTGAATAGTACATTATCCAAAAATTCCTGGTCAAGGTTTTGCTGATTGCGCATAAAATGAGCAAATTGTAATCTAGCTGGTAAGTCTGCTGCTAAAAGATTTTGCACGGGTGTAAAATGGTAGGGATATAAATTTTCCTTGTGAAAGATTTTGAGAACTGTTGTTTTACTAACACCGGTTTCTCTAGCTACCTGCCTGCTGCTAACTTCTGGATTTCCTGCCACTCTTACTAAAATTTCTTCTTCTTGGTGAACTGTAACAGTACGCCCTGCGTTGTCTCTTTTAGGACGAAAACTACCAGTTTCTCCAAGTCTATTAAAAAGTTCTTGAAATAGTTTCCGATTTGGTTGCCTTCTATTCGGATACAACTCTGAATACCGACGAAGCGCTCGACGTCCAACATAATCTGATTGCGCATAAACGCAAACCATATCGCGCATTTCTCCATTTGAAAATAAATTATGGCGTGGCATGTTATCTCGCACTACGATTTAGATCATAAAGTAAAGAATACTTTTAATAAGGCACGAATAATACTGTAATATTACTGACAGCACTAAGATAAGTGGAAAATGTCAAAATTGGATTTTAACATAAGCCTACTTGAAAATTTTTGCCGATTTGTAATTGAATGCAAATACATTGGAATTTTCAATGGCAAATTTTACGAGAACGGTGCAAGATAGCGACTATCAAAAAGTATAGCTTTTTTGTGTAAAAGAAGTTGTAAAATCAGAATTTGCTACCTGAGAATTAGATTTTTGAAAGATAAAAAAGTTCTGTCGTTTTCAACGCATTCGACCTAGCGCAGGTGGCGCTCTCTATGAGCTACAAGCAAACCATGGATATATTTCAATCTCTCGCCCCAGAAAACCCCTAACACCAAAATTTCATCTCGATATGAGCATTTATTATGAAATAAATAAGAAAAAACTAAAATAATATTTTGCATTAAACACCCTGTATCTGTAAGTATCAACTTTTGGACTAAGGTGAGTTTGTCTAAATCACAATATTTTCATGTCAGGAATCTAGTCATGAATTTTGGCCCATTACATCGCGACCACCCTGTATACAACTACTATATACCCATGAAATTGGGTAGACAAAATTTTTTTAATAAATCATTTTTCATTATTTCCTCCTGCTTAAGTTGACCCAGGCCCTCCTGTAGTTATTTGTCGTAGTGCTTGACACCATTAAGATATATCACTTAAATATGAAATTTTCTTTTAAAAAAAAATAAAACAATCATACACATTGCAAAAATTAATTTGCATCGACTATGTGAAACACTGCAGTCATAGCTATCATCTCATTTTTAAACAATTAAACAAAAAACTTGTCTACTAACACTTCTCTTTGATTATTTCGTGATTTTTAAGCACTAATGCTTATTATATTTTAACATTCACGATTGTATACCTAATAATTCAAATTCCAAAAATCAGTGTTCCACAAATTTTTTGTTGAATCACATTTTGTAGGTTAGTTTTTCTAAAAACAACATTTTTAAATTCGTATATTTTGTTAACACCCAAATGAAAGGATAAGTAAATGATGTAAGTAGTGCTTATTATTAATTCTCAATAATGACGCAACTGTTTAAGCTGCTAAAAATCAACAATTCATACATAAATCAGAAAAATACTGTTATTACATTAATTATCTAAATTTTTCTGATTTAACGGCCTTATTATTTATATACAACTTTTTATGGACTTATCGTAATTTAACAATTACGGTTGCAGACAGTCCAGAAAGCGATGAAGAGATAATTAAACCTAAAAAACGTAGCAGAATACAATTCATTGAGGACTCTTCTGATAGCGATAGTGGCACTCCTAAGAAGTCTGCAAAGCAATTCAAATTTAAAAACGGTAATGATTCAGATAATGAGAATGATTCACCAAACACACTTAAGCATAAAAAATCTAAAAAGTTAGTTTTAAACGGTTCAGCAGGCAAGCCTAAAAGGCTCTTAAAGGAATATAGTTTTCAAAAAGGTACACCTGTAAAGGAGTTACAGGTAAACAATGTTGACTCCAAGAAAGACAGTCAGGAGGCTGTCATTAAAGATATCCATTCAAATTGGCTGCATAATAATTTGGATTTCTTGGAGCCTGATAAAATTAAAGATATTAATCGAAGAAGACCAAGTGATCCCAATTATGATTCAAGAACTCTCTACGTCCCAGAAAGTTTTCTTAAAGACTTGACACCAGCTATGAGGCAATGGTGGGAGTTAAAAAGTCGACATATGGATTCTGTTTTATTTTTCAAAGTTGGTAAATTTTATGAACTATATAATATGGATGCAGTAGTAGGGGTTATGCATTTAGGCTTCTCTTATATGAAGGTACAGTGTAGATAACGCAGGCACACCTAAAAAAAATTGTCTGTTCCTTTAATCAAGCCCTGAAATTGTTTTCGGTCCCCTCGAAAAATGAATCTAGAGTCAGTGTGGCACTAGCCCCTACCATTTTTAAAAAGTGACCCCCCAGATCCTCGAAAATTGGGTTATTAGCGAATATACTTGAGGATTGTAATGTCGTGGAAGAAGCTAGCCTGGTATAATGGATTATGTAACCCTACCCCCATATTTTCTGTCACGCTAAAAGTCTGGTTGGTTTGACTAACGTCTTTACTTGTAACAAACTCTTTAGTCTTCAAAAGATTTATTTGGTGGATTTCGTTTTTGCCTCTAACCTTACATTGTCTTTTTAACATCCAACAGTATCTGCATATTCACTTACCCTGATGTTTTCTTTCATTTTTTATAAATTTTGATGAAAACGTTCACCTTGCTGTTCGTTATAGTCATCTAAGTTTCATTTTAATGAGACATCCAAGTTCTCTGAAATTCACCACCATTTCCGCAATTAAGTTTTATATTTGTGACTTTTGTGATTACCCAAAATATTTCTGTTACACTTTACATCATTTAACACACTCTGATTAAATCTTTGGGGATTTTATTCCATCCCACGGTATATATTCATCTTCACTCTCTATTTCACTGTCATCATTTTCCTCTTTATATTCCTTCTCGACTTCCTCTTCATACCTAAAATTTCCTTCATATTCACCATTTCCTTGTGGCACGATGTAATCTACTTTCATAGACTCTTCTTCTGCAGGGGAACTGGTTTCCACTGAATGAATTATAATGCATTCTGAAGGGTTTATTGCTTGTGCAGCTGTGCTACGTATATCATACAAAAGAACAGACAACTTTTTTGTGTGCCTGAGTCATTTATTCAGTTAAAATTCCAAAGGATCTGTCAAATAATTTACTTTCAGGGGGAATTTGCACATTCTGGGTTCCCCGAAAGTGCTTATGCCAAAATGGCAAGTACTTTAATTGAGAAAGGTTTTAAAGTTGCAAGAGTCGAACAAACAGAGACACCAGAAATGATGGCAGATAGATGTAAGAAACAAGGAAAGGTCACTAAATTTGACAAGGTAGTTAAAAGGGAAATTTGCCAAGTATCTACTAAGGCTACTTGCGTTTATACTGCCCAAATGCCAGAAGCACGTAATGAATTACCAAATTACATGTATGCTGTCTCAATGAAGGTAAGTTTTCCTATTATGATGGATAAGTAACATTCTAGAAGCTGTTGTATTCCTTTTTATAAAAGAAACACATAATATCTTCTATTTCAGCAAAATGTATCTGGGAATATCCGAATTGGAGTCTGTTTTGTAGAAACATCTATTGGGATATTTTACATGTCTGAATTTGTCGACGACAAACATTTTTCAAGGCTTTTAGCTCTTTTTGCAGAATATCCTGCTGCTCTGGTAGTAAATTCCCATGGTATTTTATTTTAAATCTAATTTTTTTTATATGTCTAGATATTAACAGAACGTGGCGTTGTCAGTAAGAAATTCTCAGAGCTATTAAACACTTATTTCAAAGATGTTCAGAAAGACAGTCTTCTATCTAAAAATCAATTCTACACTGCATCTGATACATTAGAAAAGCTGTCAATGGCAAATTATTTTATGAATAAAGAGGGAAATTTTTATTGGCCAGAATTCTTTAAAAAAGTTGCCGATGATTGTAAGGCATAAAAGTTTAACAATATTTAACAAGACATAAAAATTGTAAATATTTTCTTTAGGTATGCCCAAGTCTGAATATGAGCTATGTTTAAAATCTTTAGGAGCATGTATGTGGTACTTGAAAGATTCAAAATTAGATATACAAGTTCTTTCAATGGGAAAATTTGAATGGTACGACCCTTTGGACCTGATATCTGAAGAAAAAAAAGTCGGAAAAGATTATTTGATACTTGATTCTATAACAATAAATAATTTGAATTTGCTAGGAACAACCGGATCATTACAGAGCATTCTGGATCAATGCGAAACAGCTTTTGGAAAAAGGTATAAAGCAGTTTTCGTCATATTTCAGTGAAGGCTAATTTTCAGTTCTAGACTGTTACAACGTTGGATTTGTAGACCATTATGTGATGTTAATAGAATTAAAGAAAGACAAATTGCTGTTAATGAACTGTGGAATAACCCAACTCTGCTGAAAAATTCACAAGCGGTTCTAAAAAAAATGCCAGATCTCCAAAGACAACTGACAAAGTAATAAAATAATTTATCTTCGATAGAACTCCGATTAGTTTTTTCTTTTCATTTCAGGATACATGCTTATGGTAATAAATTTATGGCCAAAGATCATCCTGATAGTAGAGCTATTTTTTATGAATCTGTCACATATTCAAAGACAAAAATTAAGGACTTCTTGAAGACGTTGAGGGCTTTCGAGAAGGCTCAAGAAATCTCTGACATATTCAGTGGTAAGTAAATGTTTTGTCAGATATTTGTATCTGAATCATTTCTTGGTCCATATAGACTGTGTTCAGCGAATCGTCGGACTGGTCAAAGTTCAGTGGACAAATATTTCGTTGGTCAGCCCAATCAGCTGATTGGGAATATTGGGCAGGTTTTAATGCAGTTACTAAAGGTCGTTCAGCGAATTGTTTGACTAAAGAAGTTTGACCGAACTAGTCCGGCCATTCGCTTAACACAACATTCATAAAAAATAAATCTAAAATGAAACTTGTGAAATAAAATTTAAGGAAGGCCTCTCCTCAGAACTTTTCTTAATAATTTTTTAAACTTCTGGCTAGCCCTTATTTCAAATTTTTATTTCGCAAATTTTGTTGAGCAATTATTATCAAAATATAATATATAAATATTCATTAGTGCCCAGAACAATCACAATATAAATACCTCTTTTATTTACCGTTTTAGGTTGTGAATCTCGTTTATTAAGGAAGATAACGCAGTTTAGTCCTAAAGGAGCAAATGTCGATTTACGTGAGATATTACAGTTCTTCAAAGTATGATTATGTTGTATAATAATTGAATTCCCTGACTTTAATCGTTTTTAGAGTGCTTTTGATCAAGAAGAAGCTGAAAAAGAGGGCAAAATAATACCCAAGCGAGGAGTAGAAGAGGATTTCGACAATGCGGAAAAAACAATAGATGATATTAAGAAAAAATTAGCTGATTATCTTGATGAACAATCAAAATTTTTCGGTTGTAAAATTTCTTACTTTGGAACAGATAAGAAACGTTTTCAGTTAGATGTACCTGAAAGTAGAACAAGCAAAGTTACCAATGAATACCAATTAGAAGGCACCAAAAAGAGTTCGAAGCCATCAAAGAGGTATTCTACCCCCAAAACTCGCGTAAGTATTTTTAGTAATACATATGTTGTAATTAAACATTTTGAACAAACGATATTTATATCAAATTTAGGAATTGCTGTCGCAAATGTTAAAGGCAGAAGCAGAAAGAGCCAAGATAGTTTTAGATTTGAATCGGCGCATTTTTGAGAAGATCGGTGAGAGGTAAACTAACATTCAATATGGAAGAAAGTAGGTCATTAATGCAATTTATATTTTAGGCATGAACAATTCGATCAAGCCATTCAATGTTTAACAATATTGGACGTCTTATGTTCTTTGGCTGAATATGCTCGTACTTATTCACAGGATATTTGCATTCCACATGTAAAACAGTTTGATGAAAAAGTAAGAAAAATAAGAAAATGTTCATGTACATCTGTATTTTCGCAAAGTTCAAGTTTTAAAATATATTGAAATATGTATTTCAGCCTCAATTAGTTATTGAAAATGGACGACACCCCTGCATTCCAAATGTTGATAATTTCGTACCAAATGATATTACAATGGGTGACGAGGACCATGCTGATGTATTGATTCTTACAGGACCTAATATGGGTGGAAAATCTACTTTAATGAGACAAGTGGCCATCATTTCTATCATGGCACAAATTGTAATTAGTTTTCAATTGAGGAGCGTTGATTCGAATTCACATAAACTAATTTTGGGAAAAATGTTAAAAACTGTGTATATTAATTATACTGGATATTTGGTTTTGGGTAATTCTGAGTACAATAGTTGACAAAAACTGTAAAAATGATGCTTTACACAGAAATGGATATGTGTCTGATATTGAATAAGCGCTCCTCAATTATAAAGTTATTTTACCAAAACTGGCAAATTAATAACACTTAATTATCATAATACGTAATCTCCATATTGTCTTTTAGAATAGTACTGATTCATCAATTACTTTTTAGGGAAGTTGTGTTCCTGCTTCTACTTGCCATCTGAATTTGATTGACCGTGTTTTCACACGCCTTGGAGCACAGGATGATATTATACAAGGCCAATCTACTTTCTATGTTGAGCTGTCTGAAGCGTCATCTATATTACAGCATGCTACAAAACATTCTTTAGTGATCATTGACGAATTAGGCAGAGGAACTTCGACTCATGATGGAAATGCTATAGCGACAGCTTACGTTAAAAAAATTACATCTATAGGTTGTCGAACTATGTTTTCAACTCATTATCACAGCCTGGTTGATCACTTTATTGGACAGAAAGAAGTACAACTGGGACATATGGTAATACGAGTATTTATACAGGTATTACTTAAATAGTTGCTAATGGTCTTTGATTGTAGGCTTGTATGGTAGAAAATGATGAAGATTCTACTGAAGAATCGGTAACATTCTTATATAAAATTGCAGAAGGAAGATGCCCAAAGTCCTATGGTTTCAATGCTGCTCGACTTGCTGGTTTGGACTATAAAGTTGTTGCGAGAGGTCGAGAAATTGCTAAAGAACTAGAGGAGGAAAGTAGATTGCGGAATATTTTTCATATTATATTTACCTCAAAAAATATTTCCGAAAGACGTAATGTTTTTAACTCTATAGTGTAACGCAACGTTTGTACTGTTTAAATTATATATTTTTTTACTTGTTCAGTTTTCATATCTCAAACATAATTTTTTTGTAGAAGACGTTTTAAGTTTGCTAATTTTTATTTCAATATTTATAGAAATATTCTTGTTATTTTCACAGTATTCTCTAAATATTTAAATAAATCACATTCAGATATGTACGTGTTTCTTTTCTATTTGCATGAAGAATTCCCTGATGAAATCATAGAAAAATATTCTCTGTAGTACAGTTTATCCATTTATAATTTAATATACAAAGAAAAAACTAAAGACTGGACATCTGAATGGCAAGTTGGGGTGTTTGCCTACTCTCACATTCGCACTGCACATTTTTAATTTTGAAAATGCCTGCATTTACCTTTATTCTCCCCTAATATATTTTTTTAAAACGAGAAACAAATAGGAGATTAGATGAGTATAGTAATAGGTTGTAAATATTTATACAGTTTTGTAAATATTGAAAATAAATTTAGACACTATTTTATTTTCCAAAAACAAAGTTTTTCAGTTTCCATTTTCTTTTATATGAATATGTAATAAAGTATATAAATGAATTATTGCATATATCTCTTCGGATTTAAAGAAGACATTTGATTTAAAATTTATCTACAGAATTTGTTACGACTCGGAGAAAAAATTTAACTTAAAAATTTAGAAAATGTATAGTGTTGTATTGGAATAAAGACTTATTTAGCAGAACTCATACTCTTCATTCTACGACGGGAAAAAAATTAAAAACAACATTTTCAGAGAAATACCCCGATGTTATGCCTGTAGCGGGTTATACTCTTATATAGAAAAATTGGCCAGTTGGGTACTGTATTGGATGCAATAATAAAAATAAACACTACCTTTGGAGCCTCGGAAGCCCTTTCTTTATTTTTTGTATGTAATCAGTTGTATCACACGAAGTAGATATTTATTTAATTATGTTCCGTATTAACCTGTACCATTACCATTTATAGCACAAGGTGGCAAATTTTCTGCGGACGCCCATGTATCAAGGGCGTAAACTATGGAAAATTTAGAATTCAAAATAATAAATTACGTTTTGTGCGCCATCTTTCGGCAGGGGATTTACCTTCTACTTTTACTTTGAGAAGTACACGACGGTAATAAAGTAAGTTATTTCAAAGTTTCCCTCACTTTTCCCTCCAATTTGCAGCACCATCTTCAATAGTTAGTGCATTTGTTTTGATTGGCGTTGTACGATTAAAATTTGGCAAAACAGTGATTAAATTAAGTTAAAATTATGTACCACACGCCTAAGCGTAACAAAATAGACACAGCGGATGGTAGTGATGTTGATGTGTCACCTAATAATCGAATTTTGAAAACGAAAACCCTTAATATAGGAGACAAAGGACCGGTTAACGGAAGCCCAAGCTTGGGCGAGAAAAATGTATTGTCTCCTAGTGAAACACGAAGAGGTCGACCCAGTGCAGATTTATTAAATACATTAATTTTGGAAGGTTCTACATCCCCCAGTTCCATTAAATGTACCTATTGTGGACGGGTCTTTCCTAGGGAAAAGTCTCTACAAGCTCATTTAAGAACTCACACAGGTGAGGGGACATGTTGAACTTTAAATACTGCCGTTATTTAAATGCCTTGCTATCTCTGATGTTATTTAAAGACGTCGACTTCGTCAGAAGATACAATTATCGAAGTTACTTTTAATTTAATGTTATTTTATATAACTATAATGCATTTTATAGAATTAAAACAAATTTTTATAATTTTAACATCCAACAATTTGGATTAATATTAATAAAGGAATATTATTTGCATGGAAATGAGTAATTATATGAATGAAATATGTGTAGTTAATTAATAATATGATTAAAAATACAAATATCTAGATGAATTATGTTTAAAATTCAAAAAAGTTCTCTAAATACATGTTTTAGTGTAATTTTACCTCACATTAGGTATGATATTAAAACTAACCTCACTGCATTTTGCTTTTTTAGTTATATTTTTTATTTAAAAAATATATTTCAAACTACATTGATACTGATATTGTTTTTTCCGTAGGAGAAAAACCATATGTCTGTGACTACCCCCGTTGTACAAGAAAATTTGCTCAGTCAGGCCAATTAAAGACACATCAAAGACTCCACACTGGAGAAAAGCCCTTTATTTGTGCTGCACCAAATTGTTCACGTAGTTTTACCCATGCTAATCGTCACTGCCCAGATCATCCCGATTATACTTTAAAACGTTGCTCAGTAAAACCAGAGCCTAATCTTAATAAGAAATATGATGAAACTCATAATGCAGAAGTGAGGGAATGGCTTCAAAACTGGGATAGGTATGTACAATTTTTATATTAATTGCCTTATTTATATATCAACGTAATTGGTCAAAAAGCTATTTAATCTTTGATAAGAGTAGACTTTGGTGTCTAGAGCAGCAGTGGTTCCCAAAGAAGAAAAAAAGAGATCACATCGGGTCGAAAAATTTTATCAACCGAATAAAAAAATTGTATTTTTTCTTTAAAAAAAACACCAGAAATACTGTCCCATTTTCAAAAAAGACTGGCTTGTGGAATGTTAGTTCTGATTTTATTTAAATGAAGTGCATTAATGTTTTATAGATATTAACTCGCTTATGAACGGCATTCATTCTCCCTTCACTTTGATGGTACTTATATAGTTGATAAAGCAACACATGTACATTGGCGAACTGTTACGAGAAATAATATTCATAGGTATTGTATTACTGTAATATAGGGAATGATATATTAAGAGAAGAAAATGAAGTAAAAACGGTAAAACTATTCGAATGGTGCTGGTGAAGTAATTGTAAATATAATAATAAGTATATTCAAGTTGTACACTGAAAGTAATGCCATTAATAGCAGTAAATGTGCCCAGTGGCGGCTCGTGACATTGAGAATAGGTGAAACATATACATTGATTGACTAAAAAGGAAAAAAAAGCGCCGCTGGCGCTGGCAAAAATTTTCAAATTTTCAAGGTCAAACCCCTTTAAATGAATCTAGAAATTTTTAGTTGCATTTGCCATATTACCCAAAAACCTTCGTTCGTGGGAAGGATTTTCATTTAGATTTTATAAAAAATAGAAATATTAGTTCGGTTTGTGGACTTCTGCGAATATTAACTCACACCGTACATGTATGTTCCAAAGAACCTTTGTAGTTACGACAACCTCGCGTCACATAAATTGTTAAATCCCTTTTTATTTCACGCGCCCAACTTTACACCCACAATTAAACACGGCATACAAAAAAGTTTTTTTAAATGAACACTTTCACACAACCACTTATACTCCGAATACCATTCATTCCGAAACTTTCGAACGTACACGTTGTCTTTTGACCTTCCCCTTTTTTCCGTATCAAGAGAATAAGGCATGGGTCTCTAGCAATTTAAAAAATCTTTTTAATCCTCAATTTTCCATCTGGGAAATGGCATTTCCAATAAAATACATACTGGATCATATATAGAAAACATTTCTAAACCTATTATACCAAACAAATATTAACTAGGAACCGTTATAATCGTGCACTGGGCGACGCGTATTGTATAAACTGTTAAAGGCAGGTTAGGCAGGTGATGGTCGATGCTGTTTCAATTTCTGCGTCACTCGTTCTCCCATGCCGTAGTTTAATCCCGAGTTGGCCGCCACATTGCGATAACAACTGCAGTAAACAACACTACGAAGAGAAGCAGAATACAGACTGATTTCAATCTGCATCACTTGCATATACTATACGTTGTATGGTATGTACGAGATTGACGTTCACGCTCAAGCAAGGCAATGTTTATTTAGAAGGCGTTCATTGTGCAACTATTCTGTTTATTTTATTTAAAAAGTTTGGGAACCACTGGTCTAGAATGTACAGTTAGATGGTTTACATAGAACCATTTTACAGCAATCCAGTTTTCTTTATTACTGTGATGTTAAAGACGATGAAGTTGACCACAAGTTTTGTTCTAAATTCCTTACTTTGAGTACTAGTCTGCAAGTTCTATTTCAATTCAGTCAACATTGATTAAAACACAGTCTTTGGTTTGATTAAAATCAGTCTAAAAAGTAGATTTAGTATGGCTTAACTGTGATAGAAAATTAACATCATCGTTAAATTTCACGTAAACAATACAGTTACATATATATTTTTGGAGTTTGTCATGTTTCTTATTCTGTTTCATTTTTTTGGTAGACGAAACAAACCATCTAGTTCCAATGAAAATCTCGATACAACTCCTAAGAAGTCCATGTTTAAACGAGAAGAGTCGGTATTTAGTAGTGGGAGTTCTGCTTATTTTTCCAGCTGTTCGCAAACTAGTTTAACAGATGATATAGAAAATTCTCCAAAATCTGAATTGGAGGATCTCGAAACTTCTATTTGTAGTAACTCGGGTAGTTCCGAATCTGAAATGCAGAGTGAAACGTCGCCGAAAAGTTTACCTTCAGAATTGCCTAAAAAACGTTGGTTGCGTGAAGCCGTGCAGGATCAAAGTCTTTGGGATGCAACCAATGATCTTGCCTGCCCCATAAACTGGGGCGAAGATGTATTCGGTGAAGTGAATGATTCAGAGAAAAATACTGCGTTTGTACCTAAGATTATCAATGAAAATCAAAAACGTCCTTCTGTTCTTGTTTGTGTTCAAGGTGGTAAGAGCAAAGAAATTTCTAGTGATGAGATTCAAGGAGCTATGGCTCTTGTTGAGTTAAAAAATGGTTCAACTTGTAACTTTAATTACAGGATTTAGTAGTTACTTATACGTGTTGGTAGGTTGGTTTATATAGAAAAATTTCATATAGGAAAGTTGCAGTGCATATGGCATATATATTTTTAATACAATGACAGTTTACCACAAAATCATAGTTGTGGCAGATTCATAATAAAACTAATATACCAATATGTGGAATTCTAAACTTTCTTTATAACACATGGGTAGCGCAGTCAGTCAAGATAATATTTTATATAATAAAATTACTTTCTCCTGGCCTTTTATTTAATTTGATAACACGATGTATGAGATATTACCAGTAGATGCATATTAAGGCTGCTACTAACGTGTGTATTAACCAAATTTGTTAAAATATTCGTTTTATATGAAAAGCTTGTGTATTTTAATGTTGGTATGTAATACCAACTTAATCTTCACATATTTTAATGATTAACTAGTTTAATAATTAATCTAGTGCGAAAAATACTCATTTACATTTTGATTAACGATAGAGATATATTTAATTTTTCTTGAAATACTTGTACACTAGTATGCAACAAATTTACTATCATCCTTTCTTTTATTTTGTAAAATAGTCTTTATTACGAACACTGACCTCTATTAGAATATGGATTACTACTACAGCTTTAAAAGTTTTAGCCAAATTGCTCGTGCACAGGCAGCATTTGATTCTGCACATTTAATTATGTGTACAAACTATGTAGAGTATATATTACAGTTATATACGAAAAGTGAATGCCTGACGCAAAACTGTCACCGTCAATCATCGTCACCAAACAGCAACTAAATGTGCAGAATCTACTTGGGTTTCCTAATAGATGTAATATTTGTCACATAGACCTCTACTACACTCTATTCATATATGATAAAGATCAGTGACTGTAAATGAAAAATGAAAATTACGATGATGAAAGAACCACTCGCACAGTTAATGGAAATCGACAACCCGTCAAATTATCTGAAAATGAAATACGTTGCAGTTTGAGATGCCCAACACCCAAAAATGAATACTTATCGAGGTAACCGACATTGAAAGTGAGCAAGTCCCATCGCGCTTATACATAGTCTTTTTTACGGAAAGCCGTATGACTCTTCTCTCTCAATCTCTTTCTCTCTGAGAGAAACAAGATGAGATCGCTGATCATAAAGTCCTTTATTTGCAGTCTTTCGAGTTTTGGAAAACAAGTTTTAGAGCTGATGTAAGTTAGCATAATTATTATCTTATCATTAACGATTAACATTAATCTAGCAGCGGCAGCCTTAGACGACCTATGTCATTTAAGACATTACTATATGTTAATATAATCAAAGTTACGTATTCAATTTTTGTTTGAATTTCCAAAACAAATAAATAAAAACTTAAACTTCGTGTGACCTGAGAGATCAGTTATAACCAATTTTTATGAGATCCTGCCAACTGTTTATAATAGTTTTGTTAATTCCGCACGTTGGTTACCATTTTGTAGGTGCTGTTTAAAAATGTACATTATAATTGTTAGTTTTGAGACATAGAGTCCTTAAGGTAGCACGTTTGCATGCATTTTACTACATAAGGTTTACAGAAAGCTAAAACTGAAAAAAATATGTTTTTATACCAAAAACTGATAACTTACTACCTACATATATCGTGAAATATAAGTATTGGCTATCATTAAGTTTAATAGATGCACGTTGTGATAGGTACATATTTATTTAGTATGTTATTAGAATCAGTGTTTTAATATTGAATTTATGAATCGTATTGGCTTATGTCTCGAAACATTTTTATCAGTTAATAAACAGAATACACATACTTTATGTCCACTTTTTTGTTACGTCTACTTTTTTCCTTTGCGCTTGCCTTTTTCTTTCATTGTCTCTGATTTTTCTTCTTGACAAATTTGTTACTTTACATCCGTTTTTCTTATTTTATGCCTGCTTTTCAACTTTGCGCCCGCTTTCTTTTCTTTACGTTTGCTTTTTTTATTCCTTCAAAAATCTTCCCTTTGTTTCGAGAGGAAGGTGCCACATGTAAACTCTTCGTTTCTTTGAGAGAAGAGTCATACGGCTTTCTGTAAAAACGACTATGAATAAGCGTGGTGGGACTTATTCACTTTTAATGTTGTTTACCTCGATAAGTATTCATTTTTGGGTCTTGGATCCTTGACAATTTTATCCCAGACTACAACATATTTCATTTTCAGACAATTTGACGGGTTGCCGATTTCCATTAAATGTGTTTTCTTTTCTTTTACTCTTTATCAAATTCTATTCGAAGAATCACTTCAGGAATACATCAGATATTTACTTAAATACAGAGTATTTATGAAATAGTCGATATATTTTTTGCTGACAATTTATATGATTGCTTATAAATCACTATAAATAAAATAGGTGCCACACTATACCAACTTAAAATAGTAGTTTTTTTTATTATACCGTTAGTTTATTTACGTCTAAAATTCCATTTCTTCTACAATTGAAGTATTAATTCTAACAAAGGCATGTGCAACTTAGCCTAAAACCCTTTTTTTTCTTGTTTTTTTTTCCAAAATAAGTATTTTCTATATGAGCACCTGCAGTTAAAAGGTGAATACAGGTCTATTAATTATTGTGATAATTATTTATTTTTATTTTTTGGTGTTATTTTGTTATTGAAAGGAACTGTTTGTTAAAAAAGTTTGTTTCCTATGATTATGTATGCTTTATATTTTATATTATGTGATTAATTTAAGTTATTTATTCTTTTTTTAATTGTTAAGCATGGTAGTTGGATACTGTAACTTTTTAGATTTATAATGGACCACCATTGGATAGTAATAGAATTTTTCCATGCAGCATCAGTTCAATAAACTTCTTTTAACCCTCATTATATCTTATTATTCCAAAAATGGTTTCTAAAGCAAACTGAAAGAGGATTTTTCTAGCACACAGAAAATTACCTTCTTTTAGTGCATCTGCTCGTAAAAAATAAAACCAAATTTTATCTGATTACAAAATATATTAGAACAAGAATTAAATTCCTACAACTGTAACACAATCAGATTATTTAAATATATCAAACAGCTATTCTATAAAGTTTTAGTGATACATTGCTTATGGGGGCTATCTTTTTAATACAGCAGAACTAAACCGTAACATAAATATAAAAAGAACACAGGACGATATCACATGAAAAAAAAGCTTGTAATAGCAAGGAAATATTCAAGTATATAACATTTTTATTATAGTTTGACTAATTTATATACTTATCTACTTCAAATTGCACTGTGTCAAACAATTTTAAATGTATTTTTGTTTGAGTTAAAAACAAGGAAAGTGAATGTACCTTACTTAAACTAATTTTATAACAAACTTGCCATTTCCTGCTTCAAAAATAATAAAATGAGCAACAGTATTAATTATTCTATGTTAGTTCCACCTGCCTCATCGCCTATATCAAAGTCGGAACTTGATGTCTATAAAAAAAAAGATAAAAAAATATAATAAATTAAAAAATAAGTCATGTTTCCCATATGAACAATTTACTTCAAACATATTTCTCTAATTTTTTTTTGGTAGAATATATTTTAGAATTATGTACTAATAAGTAACATACGCCACTTTCACAAACAAAAAAGATAGGAAATTGTTCCACATTACATTAAACAACATGCAACATGCGGACTGCCATAAATAAGTGCAACACATTTTAAGTCGACACTCGCTATGGAAAATGTAAATAAAATACATTATTTACTTTTTGTAAAAACCCCACTGGATAAATACACAAAATTGATATTTCATGCAAAACTAATTAAAGAAAAAATTCCTACTCCAATTCCTTGCAATGACAATGTAAATAAATAACAATGAAATACGATTTGAAATTAATTTCAGATATACTTTTAGTTATTATTGTTCTACAAAAGAAAGAAAATTTGAAGTACCATAAAAATCTTTTAGAACGATTGTTTCTTCGTATCACAAGATGATTCAGTGAAAGATCTGGCAGTGTTAAAGCTGAAAATTAATTGTATATTTGTTTATACAATAATATAGTTTTATGTTGTGTCTGTACCCCAAATATTAAACAATTAATATTAAATGAATAAAATTGACTGTAACTATCTACACTACAAAAAAGGACGGCTATCTTCTAATCACTTGTAAAGGATGAGGAAAAACAGGATAAGGTTTGGATGCCTTTAAAACAAACACAACTTGTGTAATTCTATACTTATTTCTTATTAATCAAAATAATTACTTAAATCTGCTGCATCAACTGAAAATAAAATACTAATGGTCGGTAACCACCAACCTAATTTTTAAGAGGTTATACATGCTGATTAAAAAAAGTGTTTCAGTTACATACTCTGAAACTTTCAAAGGAAGATTCTGACAGATTTATCGTTGCTGAATAATTTTCCTTGTCCTAGAAATAAAAAAAAAATAACATATAAATACCAGAAATAACTTGTACAAATTCTGAATGGAATACGTAATACAATTACCTCTTCTTCAGTTATTAATTCTGGACATGTACTGAATTTTTGAAGTAGGACCTCTCTTGGAGCAAGAGAATCAAGCACCTTCCGTTTAATTTCTGGTTGACGAGACGGCGTGTCACCTTCATGTTTTATAGAAACAACTTTGTTTAAAAATTCTTCAGATAGTATCTCGTTAGTGCTTTTAATAAAACGTATAAATGAATTGTCTTCTTGTCGCTTATCATCGATCATATAGCCAATACGACTATTTAATGATTCATAGTTAGAATTTATAGATGTTGTTACGTCCTGCACATGTGATATGACTGTCTTACTTAGGGTCTCCAATGCATTATTACTACCCTAAAAGAAAACAACAAAAGTTATATTATTTGTTTTTATTTATTTCAGTCACGATCAACAAATCTTATGAAATACTTACTATTTTGTATAATTCTTCCAATTTACTCGCTTCAGAAGTCACGTTTTCACCAAATTTCTTCACTTCATCTAATACCTCATCTAAATTTTCATGTGATGGTAAGTTTGTATTTAGTTCTGTGCAGGCACCTACAAACTGCAAAATAAAAATAATAAATTTTCCCTTAAAAGAAGTTCATGAAAATAACTAATTGACCAAAGTACATTACATTTTCAGTGACTTTATCCACTTCATTCCTGGATTCATTTGTTAATACTATTAGTTCAGATAATAGTTTCTCCTCTCTATTCCCTTGACGCTTTGAAATAATTTCTTTTAATGAATTTATTTGACTTAGTATTGACTTATCTTTTTGTCTACGTTTTTCATACATTATTTCTTCCTCTTTTTTTCGAGTTAATATTTCTTCTTCTAAATGCTCAATAATATTAAAAAGTTCCGTATCTTCTTGATTAAATAAGTCACTAATTTTTGTTACCATATTATAAACAGCTGCTTGAAACTGAAAGAAACGTGTAAATCCAAGTTTACATTTTACTTTATTTAACTGCTACAAAAAATATAACAAAAGCGTGATATTTCAACAGTCTCCATATAAAACATAAATGTTTTCGTTTAATGTTAACTTAATATGTTGCTTGCTTAATTTTAGAGATGAATTTCAAGAGAAATTTACTAGGCAAGCCTGGAACTTTGAAGGAATTGCAAAGAATTCTAGGAATATCAATGTGAAAGAAATATGATATAAAAAATTTAAGCCCTAGTTTATACACGAATTACTGTATTTCTACATATAAAAACACAGTCTTTCAGTTACCTAAAAATACATATGGAATAAAGGGAAAACTCTCGATGGGCCGCGGCCCGAAAGAGCCGCTTGGCTTAGATATATTTATATATATATATTTATATATTTTTATTTATTTATATATTTCAAAAATTTAGTCGCTTTTTAAACTTTATGTTTTTTTTTGGGGCAATTTATTTAAGAGACATGCAAGTTAAACCACAGATGCTTTTGGGATAAAGGAAGTTCATTATTTGCAAAACCGCAAACAGGCGTGAGTTAAACTTTAATAGGCAGGGAAAAGCAAGTAATATATAGTAAAACCTATACTATCAATACTATAGTAAAACCAAAGGTAGGTGAGTAAACCTTATATAGGCTGGGGAAAGCGAGTTCAATAGTCATAAAACCGCAGATAGGCGTATTACTTCTAGTTTTATCTTATTAACAGACTTTATTATGTTTTATAAACCGAGAGAAGAATAAAGTGTATAAAGCATAACAATATTGATATTTTTTACTTTTATAATATTGATAATAATTCTAATAGTATAAATGACATTAAAAAGTTAAATCCAAACTAAATCAAATTTTAAAAATTTGAAAGTTGAAAGAAATTTGAAAGATAAAATAAAATTTTTAATTTAATTAAAAAAAAACTTTCAAATAAAATAAAAATTGAATATTTTTCTTTTTGTTTTTTCCTATCACGTTTCAATGAACAATTTAATAGAACAATTGCAGAAAATAAAGAAATTTAATCATAAAAATTACATTAGTCCACAGTCCATACTTATAGTAAAATCCTCTTTGGGAGCGTGACTTGTATCCGCTGGATAAATACAAATTTCAGTTTATTTAATAATAAAGACGAGGTATGGATTGTGCACATATTATATTGTGCACAGTGCGCACATAATACATAGAGAGCGTGCCACCCCGTGTATAACGTGCACAATTCTTATGTGCACAATCCATACCTCGCCATAAAAAAACTGTAGCAGATTTGGAGCAAAAAATTGTAGCTGTCACCATAAAAAACGATTTACTTCGAATTAGCACCATTTTTTAAACTTGTGTTTTGTTTTTGCAAAACATATAATTAAAGGTAACAGGACAAATTGTTCTATGGATTTTTTCTTTTCCATAAAAAGTCATAATTTTTAGTTTTAATACAAAATTTAGTTAAAAAGGACAACATTTTTTGAAAACTTTGCATTTTGCATAATTTATATCAGTGAATGATTTAATACCTTCGAATGTTAAAAGGCAATCAAAGTAAAGAAAAACAAAAAAATCTTGCAAAAACTGTGCTGTGTGCTGCTATAGAATTTTAAACAAGTATAATCTTCTGACGGGCATTTATCCAACGCTTAGTTTAGCATACGAATATCTCCTAAATCTTTCTTTTACGCAGATGGCTTGGGAGCGATCGTTTAGTATTTTAAAATTTATCAAAAATCAGTTGCGTAATTCCATCGGACAAGAAAAATTAGAAGCCTTTATACTTATGAACTCTGAAAAAGATATTTTAAGCAAGATCACGATTGACGCAGTAATTGACTTACTAACTTCAAAACATCCAAGTTTTAGAAATAAGCTTTTACTATAATATTATTTTCAGATTTGTCAGATGCATTTTAAACGAAATTGCTGAAATTATTAAAATTAAGTTTCACATGTATGTAATTCTTTTGTATACTATATGGTTAATACCTATGATTTAACAATATGCTTTCCTTGGTTTTATATTCGTACAAATAATTGTGGTTTATTCTAGAATTAAGTTCTTAGATTACAGCTCTCATATTTTCATGTCTTATTTAATTAGAATACAAAATCGTATTCTATGGTTCAAGCTTGATGGATTTAGAAAAGTCTAGTAAAAAGTTACCGAGTAAAGCGCTTAAAAGTAGTCGAATGCAAGGTAAAATTATCCACTGAAAAAAAATAAAAGAAATCATAAACTAATTGATTGATAAAATAAATAATACATTTAAAAATTTTCAATCTTCTCAACTTTGGAAAACTCGACATAAATGACTATTTCAAAACTGTACACTAGAAAAACCCGTTTACTTTTTACTATTATGCAAGCCAAGTCAGTTTAGAATTTTTTTAGGGCCGCTATACTCCACGGTTGAAATTATAGAGAGTGACTCATCGCTAGCTTTTGGACTACTAAGGGGGATGAAGGGTGCCGGGAACGAAAATCCATTGGCGTGTCTGCGTAAAAGGCAACAAGATATAGAAAATATTGAAAAAAGATAATAAAACAACATCTAATATTTTTTACGGTTTGCTATAACCGGCACTTTGATCCATTTTAATTATTAAAGTATTTTAGAACGTCCCAGTTGTGTTTTATTATTTTATAAATTTATTATAGCCATGGAATTAGACCCCTCGTCTACGCTTATGCGATGACGTTTCTCAGGACGGGTAAATCAAGTCCGTTTACAACCACTAAAAAAGCATTTCCCTATTCCCTACCAAGTGCAAAAGACAGAGATAGAATATAGATCGACGTTCAGTGTAACTCAGTCTATAGACGATTATAGATTCTATCGATGTGCGTAGCGAGCGGCACAAAGATAAATAATATTGAATCGTTATAAAAATCATTTTATATTTTATACGCGTTATGGTAATAGTGTTTTTATATTATGTCTGAGTCACTCTCTATAATTTCGACCGCGGAGTATAGTTTGAAAAATTCCCGGACCACTTTTTTCTCCCAGTCCGGCGCTGTTAGAATTTTAATACTACATCAGTTTGGAAAGTGACTGTTGAAAATTAAAATATTTAAATGTCTTCTAAATAAAAAACTTACCCTTTCAAAAACTTGATTAATAGCTGTAGGGAACTGTAATACATCATTTGAGAATTTACGATGACCATCAGAAAAAACATTAAATTTTAATTTCATTTCTGAAATTTGTTTCCTAGTAACAAATAAAAAATCTTTCAATATTCGAAGAACACTTTCCTTTATTGGCAAGTCCTGAATCAAACTTCTATCAAAATTTTCAAAAATATTTTTTAAGGTAACTAAAGGGGTTTGAAGTGCAACTTTGAACTCGACGATGTCTTCTTGACATAACCTGCACATCTTATCATCCATACTAGTTATATAGTTTCTCTCCTCAGTTAATTCGTTTAGCATATCCAATACTTTGGCAACAGCTGCACGTGCGTTAGTTTCATTTGCTTTATTTATATGATACTGAGTTTCTAGCTTGCGTTGTAATATGTTAGTTTGTTCTGAAAGCATTTCAGATGTTTTAAGTAAATCCTGAGCCTCCTTTTGCAATTGACTAGCTTCCTGTTCATATGTTCGTGAAACGAAGCGCTCTCTCTTGAGGCTGATTTTTTTTTGTTTAATGTCTTGTTCTAACTTATCTAATATTTCTCTAGATTTTTCACACAGCTCAACAGTGCTATCATATTCTTCATTTTTGGCTTTTATTTGGCTCTCTAAAAAAAAACAGATTAGGATATGTATTAAATATAAAGTATATTTTTATGAAATTTACTTACCCAATTCTTCAATATGCTTATTTTTTTCCTTTAAAACATCTCCAAATGAAAGTTTGTCACCCCTTAAAGCCTCCAGTTCTTCCACTATAGTACTATAATTATCTTTACTTATATAAAAGCCTACTTCATTACGACATGCTTCAAGATCTAATTCTAAACGCTTTATCGTATTAAAAAGACTGTCAATGATTTGGTTCTGACTAAGCTTTTCATTAACTGTCGGTGAATTCTTTATATCTCTAGCACGACAAGCATATTCTAACGTACTTAATGTTTCATCAACTGAATTTGAAGCAGGGGAAATAGTTGCAACAATACAGGTTTTGGTATGACCACCTAAACTATCCTGCAAAATTCTAGTTAACTTTGAATCTCTGTATGGAACATGTTTTTTAGATTTATCGGCAAGAGCGTGAATAACTCTTCCAAGAGTTAATAATGACCTATTTATATTGGCTAGTTCTACAGCTCTCATATCTTTGCAACCAGATCGAGCGATGTTCTCACTCCCGGCTAAGTCAACAAAATTAATTTTTCCGGTTTTCAAAATCTCTTCATTAGAAGACGTGCTTTCTTTCGTGAATACTGTTATAGTAAATACAGTGTGAGATCGAGAACTCTGATGGTTCATAAGGGTTGGCGCAGTTTGTCTTTTTATGTTACCTTTTAGTAACTGTTTACAAATTCCTTCGCTATCGCTAATGTTAACCTCTGTTAGACCTTGGATAAAAATTGAGCCCTTCATATCATTGTATATGCTAGAAAAAAAAAAGCACATACCTAGTAAAATAAAAAGTTAAAGGAAGTTGATAACACGTATCCACAAAAAGATGTAAATGACAACGTTAATACTGCATAAATATTTTAATTTGAAAAGAACTTCAAAAGATGTATTGAAAACTATCTAGGCTTAAATTAGAACTACAGTTATATGAACAACGTATACATCCAATTTTCTACACATTTAGTGAAGTATTTATAAATATGTTTGCTCTTACTTAAGAGGGGTATCATCATCACAGAGTAAGTCACGAATTTCTTCATTATACAATTCCAAATATGAAACCTTTACCGATTTCTCAGGTCTATTGGAGGGTAAAACATCAAAAATATGTGTAGCAGCTCTTGGAATAATTCCCGAATCAATGTCCTTAAAAAAGACATACAGACAATAAAAATTATATTTATCTTAGCTTTGATCTTACTTCTTTCCAGTTACTGAGACTTTCACTCTTATTGCCAGTCATAGTATAAGTTTTCCCAGAGCCGGTTTGGCCATAAGCAAAAACAGTACAATTATAACCAGATACAACGTCTGGAATCATAGGTGCAACAACATGTTGGTATACTTCAATTTGGTTTGAATCGGGTTTAAACACTCGATCAAACTGAAATCTTTTATCTTTAGCCAAGATATCCTTTTGAGACAAGTATTTAATTATCGCTTTCACATTAGCATCTATTTCTTGTTTACTCAAGGGCCTGAAACAGACACAATTGTTATAAATTAGTATTTACATTGTATTCTATCCAATTAGGTTAAAGAAATCACAGCCTAAATACAAACCTAACTCGAACCACTACTTTTATATTCTGTTTTTCGGCTACAGTAGCTTTCTTTCTGGGAGGTATAACTAGCAATTGTGCCATTTTTTATTTGCACAAAAATATCACATTAAACACAACAAAAATCGTTGGCTCAAAACTTAAATGCGGCGTCAACTGAAACTTTTAAATAATTAGAATTGCAACGTAATAAAAACAAAATTACTAGTATCAGACTAGATCAGCGTTGCCAATTGTACATACACCACCTGTGATCTGTGGTCTGTGATACTGATCGTATGTGTTGACGAAAGATCTCACTAATAGATGGCGCTGTTGTACGATTAATAAAAAAATTACATTTTTTCGATATCAAAAACGTGATATGTATTTCACATTCCCGTTACTGTATTTTATGTTGTATTTTGTATTATGATGCTCGGTTTCAAGTTTCTACAAAACTTTACTAGAGGCAGCCTTCAATGCTAAATGAGCGAACAGACGTGCGGGAGAGAAAGCAATTAAAAGTATAAGCTATCTCTCTCACTCCGTAAATTTTATTGGTTGAGAATGAGACCCCGCGATACCCCTCCAGCACACACATTACGGAGTGAGAGAGATAACTTTTAGTTTTATTTGCTTTCTCTCTCGCACGTCTATTCGCTCATTTAGCATTGAAGGCATGGAGACTAGATAAGGAGCACGAACTCATACGGAAAAATTGACAAAATTTGTCCAAGAAATGGCAGAAGTTGGGGTGGCGCTAGTGTTCCATATGACCCAAATGAATGTAGCTTCATAAATACGAGTGAAGTAAGCAAATAACCAATTTTATTTNTGATGCTCGGTTTCAAGTTTCTACAAAACTTTACTAGAGGCAGCCTTCAATGCTAAATGAGCGAACAGACGTGCGGGAGAGAAAGCAATTAAAAGTACAAGCTATCTCTCTCACTCCGTAAATTTTATTGGTTGAGAATGAGACCCCGCGATTCCCCTCCTGCACACACATTACGGAGTGAGAGAGATAGCTTTTAGTTTTATTTGCTTTCTCTCTCGCACGTCTATTCGCTCATTTAGCATTGAAGGCCTGCCTCAGTGCCTCTAGTAGGTATATGCCCGAAGGGAAAATCTAAATTTTTTTAGTAGCCATATTAGTCTAAAGCCAGACAAACAAAATAATGTCAAGTTAAAAATGTGGAATAAATAGTAATTTAGTAAATATACGAAAGAATATATGTATTATTTAAGTGATAATCAGAAATCTCAAGTGATTAATTAATTAACTACCTAATTTAAGTTAATAATAGTTATTGCGATAGTCTGTTTTTTACTGATGATTTTTCTAAAAAACAAACTGATTAACGTATGACAAGTTATTTTTTAATAACTTCCAGTCTAGTAATTATAGAGGTAATAGCCAATAGCATTCAGTTACAGATATTCTGTTCTTTGTACAGTAATTCAGCTTTTAATTCAGAAGAAGAAGAAGAAATGTTATGCTTCTTGCATACTTTTAGGATACTATCAAATATGTATGTACAGGGTCGGAAAGTCCCCATGGTTCATCGGCCGTTACGTGAGAGCGATAAAGTCATAGAAATCCGTGCGATAGAGAAAGATGGCTATAATGAAGGCGTCTAATAGTCATCGCCCATTTCGCCCTTCCACAAATAAGGTCCACTTCTTATTTGTGGAAGGGCGAAATGGGCGGTGACTATTAGACTATTAGCCATCTTTCTCCATCGCACGGATTCCTATCACTTACTTTATTGCTCTCACGTAACGGCGGATGAACCATGGGGATTTTCCGACCCTGCATATTGAAAATATCAAATATTTTATACCGGTTACCATCCGACGAAAAGCATCCATTGATTAAATGCTTAATAGAAATATAAATCTTTTTATTTTCATTTGACTTTTACCATCAACTAAACTAAGCCACTACAAAAAAATCTGTTGAAAATTCATAGGTATTTTATTGCTTAGGGTATATACTACTGGAGGCAGCGTCTCAGTGGTCGAGAGTGTAGCGGAGGTTAACAGAGAGAGAGGTATAGGAGAGAAATTGCTATCTCTCTCTAGCAGCACGCGATTGCATGTTGCTAGAGAGAGATAGCAAATACACTCCGATATCTCTCTCTCTCTCTCTACACCTCCGCTACACTCTCGGCCACTGGGACGCTGCATCGAGTAGTATATGCTCTAAGACGAAAGTGTCAAGATTTAGGGCCAAATTATTAAAGCAAGTTGTCGTATTCCAACCTTCGAGCGATCTTCAGGATTTTCGAACCCTCAGTATACACCCAGACGGCCATCAGGTTGGAAAGGAGGCGAAACAGTCAAATTCACCTACCTTTCCAATCCAATCTGAAACGTTGCCGTGCTAAGTGATGGGTAATTCCACCGTGGTACATTTTCTACCATCGGGCTCGATGCCGTCCAAGACCCAAGTCCGCGACTCTGCATCCCAGTGCAGACGTCGCCCTATGAAATAATACTGATCTCTCCGGCGATAGCGCCGCCGAAGTCCAAGACCAATTTCACCGATGTTTCCAATGTCACCCGCATCGCAGCCGATCTCGCCTGGGTCTGCCATCCCTGCGCTCAGTATCTACTGCAGCGACCCTCGCAACCTGCAGACGAACCCCGGCGCGCTTCCAGGACGATATTTGGAAACGGACATCAATTTTTTCACTCACCTTTCCAATTGGTGTATCCCTCCGACGCGACGAGTGGGGATTGGTGCCCTCGAAGATACAGAAAATAAATTAGTTCTTGTTAAGATATCAAGACTGAGCTGGACGAGACCATGTCACCCCCAAACACTATCTCGATGCTTCGTGGAGAGTCCGAGGAGCCGAAGGTGGTAGCTTGTGGAAGTTCGTGGCATGGCGACGCCACAGCGCCGTACATGCTGAGATCCGTGGCTACACGAGTTACCGATACCACCTCGAGTATCCCATGGAGACGAGTAGCTCCTTATGGTCCACCCATTAATACACGTGACGAGGTTCAACTTAGATACCATCTGGTAAGGTCCGGGGAATCCCATGCGCCTGACCACGGTCCCCCTCGTGGAACTGTCGGTATGGACGACCCAGAGCAAACAGCATTTTTATAAAATGGCGCTCAGCGGGAGCAATACACATCTCGTTCGGGTTCCATACCACGCGAAAACCCCTTAGCCGACCATATTGTAGCAGATATGGCCGGCTCATTCCACCCAAGCAATTCTGGTACTTTGCACAACCGTCCTTATGATTCCCCCCAAACAATCCTAAATGACCGTTTCACTCGACATGGCGCTCAGCATGGGGCTCGAACATCTTCTTCAATGTCTCCCTCATGAGCCCACGTTCTAGACACTCATTAAATAGGTCATAAAGATCATTTTACTCGACAAAGTATATCTTACAATTAACTAATAAGATTAGAATGTGTAGGCATCCCTACATTTTAATTGAAACAAATCACATTCTAAACTTATAGTTAGTTAACTGTACTGTACTGTTACTTGCTTTGATAATTTGGTCCTTATGGAAAAATAGGAAAATTTTTAGACAAATATACTTAAACAATTGTCATAATGTTTATTACTTAATAGATATCTTACAAATCTTTAAGTTTATACATTTAAGCCATAGATATACTTTATTCTTTTGACAGTAGATTTGTTATGAAAATACAAAAATATAAAAATAAAAAAGTGCTTAGCAGCTATATATATACAGGGTGTATCACGAAGTGGGGATTATCTCAAAAAGTAGTCAGAATTGGAATATGAAAATTTGTATACAGGGGTTTATCAAAAAGATCTATTCAATGAAAATAGTGTCAACTTCCTCGCACTTCCAGTTATACCGAAAGTCATTATCAACTCTGTTATTTCAAATGGAACACTTTGTATATTTATGCATTTTTTAATTCTGCGGTAAATTCTAGACTATTTTCATATAAGGTACTATAGGCCAAAATGTTCTTAAACACTCTGTATGAATTTTTGCAAATTTGACAAACTGGTTGAATTTCATTGCTTTCAAATTATCCATGCCAAATTTCATTAACAAATAAAGCTAAAGTTATTCTGTTTTCAAAAATCACTTGCATCCCTCAATTTTTTTCTAAAATTGACAACTTCAAAACTTTCACATATTGCAAAAAATGCAAAAATATACAGTGTTCCATTTGAAATAACAGAATTGATGATAACTTCTGGTATAATCGACAGTGCGAGAAAGTTTACACTATTTTCATTGAATAGATCTTTTTGATAAACCCCTGTATATAAATTTTCAGATTCCAATTTTGACTACTTTTTGGGATAATTCCACTGGGTCCTCTTTGTGATACTCCCTGTATAAATAATTGCAAAATAGTTTTGTCAAAATAAGTTATATCGTTTTTAGATATCGAGAAATGTATAAAAGTTATATCTTTACATTATATTACAATAAATAATGAAAGTCTATTAACTTTAGACATAGTAAATTCATATAAAATTTTTTTAAATACTGAAGTTTTCGGCAGGGTCTTAAAATAAGTCTTTTTTTAGAAATGTCTCTATAATAAACGTGAACATTGTAACATGTTACATATGGCATGTAAAAATAATACAAAAATAGAATTCACCTAGTCCTAATTGAAGACGAGATTAAATTGACTTAAAGATAGATTATGAAACACATTTTAGCTGTTTTTTTTTTAACTATTGAATTAATGAACTAATTCTGTCCATTACGTATACAGAATGTTGTTGATTTCCATGTGACATTATTGAGCAGAATGTATTAATCAATGGTTATTTAAATGCACAATAAAATAAAGAAAATATTTAAAATTTTAATATCAAACAAAACAAATGCCTAACTTTTAAATAATAAAATACGTGATTTGATTCGGATTTGTTTCATAATTTTAAAAAATTGAAAAATTTATACAATCCAACTTTTTAATACCTAGAGATAGAATAATGAAATCAAGTTATTAAGGGTTAAAATAAAAATGTAGCTAAACATAACATAGGGTCTACATAAAATAAGAAGTATGTAGTGAGAAAAAGTCATTAGTCTTATACAATTTATGATTCTTCATAATACTCTTATATTTAAATATATTCTAATTTATATAACTGGTTTATATATTACAACATTAAGTATATATGTATATACAGGGTAATTTTACATTCATAAACTTTACCAGAAATGGTGTTTTTGTTAATTTTAAAATTTCCCTGTAACTATAAAAAATAAGATTATCATCTACTTATTTCATCTTTCAATAAATATTTATGAATTTCAAGTCTTGTAAATTGTCATGATAGAAAATGAAATGTTGTGTATAAATACTAGTAAGTATAAAGTAAAAAGAGAAATAAACATAAAAAAAATAGAGATCAATGTTATTAAATATTTCAAAAAGAGAAAAGAATATTAATATATAAAACATAAATTAATTCAAGCATTTTGAGAGAAAATCACAGATGTTGTATTTAAACACAACATAAAAATAATTTCTTCCTTAATTTGTCTTATTTTAGCAACCTCAATATTAATTTTACTAAAAAAATATATTTGTTGGTAAAGATGTATAAAAAAAGACAAATTATTTTTATTATTGAGATGACCTAAAAACTTACATAAGGAGACCACAATCTTTTAAATTATTTTTTATGATCACATCAGTAACAGCGTCAAAGACAAATTGAATATTATTTGTATCAGTTGCACAAGTGAAGTGTGTGTAAATTTCTTTCTGATCTTTTCTTTTATTGAGATTTTCAAATTTCATCCTTATATAAGCTGAAGCATCTTCATAAGTATTTGGACCTGTATATTCGGGGAAACATATTGTGAGTGGACTTCTGGTGATTTTTTCTTCGAATAAATCTTTTTTGTTTAAGAATAATATTATCGACGTAGTTACAAACCATTTACTATTGCAAATTGAATCAAACAATTTTAAAGACTCCACCATTCTATTCATTTCTTCATCTTCTGCCAGTACCAAATCATAACCTAAATAAAATTTATTCAAATAATATCCATTAACCCGTAATTTTTGTAGTAGCATACAGAAATCATGGTTTTGTAAGCCTTCAAGCGATGTTAAACTGATAAAGTTAATTAAGCAACATATTAGAAAATAATTAAAAAAAGGGTGGATCAAAGAACGTCTAAATTAAAAGGGGAAGCAAATTTCATTCAATATTTTAAATAATATAGTTTGGGATAGTGTGCCTTGTATTGTATTTATAGCTCCCATACCACTAACAGTTGTAATAATTATAAAATAATATAATTACATGATTATTACACAGCTATAGCAGTCAGTTTTCAAATTATATAAAATATTTTGTCCTTACCTGATAAAGCCACACAAAATATAATTGCGGTAACACCTTCAAAACAATGTATCCATTTTTTTCTCTCTGATCTTTGACCACCAACATCAAACATTCTAGAAAATATTAATATGTACCATCATTTAAATTTTTGATTCAATCACTCACTTAAAATGTAACGATTTAAACGAGAAATTCGTTTCAACGATTCCTGTGGTCTTAACTCTTGTCCTTAAAACATCTTGCTGAGAAGGTATGTAGTTTGGCTGTGAAATCCTATCTAAAGCGTTGAGATAATAAGCTGCAGAATCATTTAACTGATATTCTCTTGATCGGGCAAAACATAACTGGACACCTGGGTCCTGCCATAACTTTTTCATTAACATTACTAATTCTGGAGTAAGTTCTCCTTCTTCGGCTGCACTTGCATATGTAAAAAACTGTCTTGCAATATCCTAAGGAATTGTTAATATTAAACCTTAACTGTTTATAAATTCCATACCTTATTTGTTTATAAAATTAACCGTTATTAGATATATAAAAAATGTTTCCATTCTTACTGATAAATATCCACATTTCCACAGTCACGTAATTTTAAATTACTACAGATAAAAACATAAAAATTTATGGTTTATGCTAATAAACCACAATATTTAAAGTATTTTTATGAAAATTGATGAGGATGTATATAATTGTGAGAAAAAAAAATGTACGAACAACCTTAATTCTAATTAACATTTTTAATAGAGTCTACAGAGAATTTAAATATAACCTGAATAAATTTAATATTTATTTAACTTTACCCCTAATCCCCTTTAAACTTACATAATTTACTATCTGATTCACAGATTCTGATTTATTTATTTCCTAACAATGCCAACGAAATGAGATAAAATAGTGTAAATAAATGACTCACCAAATAAAAGTATGTAAATATTCTAGGTAATCAAATGTTCAATTCTTAACATTACAAAGAATTAAACATAAGTACATTTAATTAAACAAAAAAAAAATGATTTCAGAGCTTATCAAAATAGAAAATAAACAAGACCATTAATGTCATGGACCAGACAGGACTATTAGAAGGATAGTGTTTTATAGTGTATTAGTCATAGGATTCAACAGAATAAAAATGTTACTTGTAAAAATATAAACTTACTGCTCGACTTGGATCTGCAAAATCTATTCTTAACTGACCCATCGCACGTATAATAGCCATCAAGCTTTGAATAGTATTGCTATAAACAACAGGCCTATACTGTTCACATTCTTCAGTTGAATATCCCAATTCATGAATTATTTTCATTTGCTTAACTATCGTACTTTTACCGGATTCTCCGGCACCTACAAAAATGGAAATATTATTAACATTTGAAATTCGGGGAAGAATAAGAATGAGTATAATAGTAATATAGGGTGCTAAGCTAACATACCCAAAAGTAAGAGCTTAACTTCACTAGCTGCGCGTTCTCCATCAGCCCGAAGATCTCTATCAATTTTTTTAGATCTTGCTGCGGCTGCTTTATCTCCTGTTGTACTAACCGCACAACCCATATTATTTTTAAAATCACTTTATTCTGACACTTGTTGCTGTTGTAGAACACAAACGACTCCACCCGCTCCGAAAAAACAATTCGTTGAAAACCATAGGCCACAGATTGACAATGTAAAAGTCACCAAGTCACTGCAACTAAATTCCCTATTGAATAACCAGTGAAATGAACATATCCTCCAGAACATTCCAACATGTCTGTGATTGGTCACGCTGAATTGGCCACCCGCAGCCAGGCATTCAATGCGTTACTAGAATATAATCTGCTTGCAGTTGCACACGCTGCACTCTGATGTGGCAAATTCAAAAATATGCAGACAAATATTTTTCTTCGTTTTTTTTTTGCCTTGACATGGGATTGTAATAAAGGCAAGGATTGTTGTAAACGATGTTTTGGAACTGATGGATTATCAAAAAATAAGTCGATTTCTTCCTATGGACCAAGGGCACATCATCTTTTGTTGAGATACAAGACGTCAAAGACCATTATTTTAAAACAAATTTTATCCTTTTTTTCCAAAAAACAATAGATTGCATTGAAATTCGGAATAGATACATTTTTGAAATATGTTAATTTTTTTAATGTTAGCGTTGTTACTTTTTTACCATCTGCTAGATGTCGTTTATGGAATATCACGGGAAATATTTTAATGTTACGTTCCTTTACAGAACCAAATGCAAAATTTCATTTTACATAAAGCACTCCTGTTTGAAATCGCCGAAAACGCACCATTCTTGAGAAAGAACGTGGTTCGCTGTTCCCAAGTCATCCAGCATCTATTTGTTAATTAGGTATAATGTAAAGGGTGTCCAGAAACGACTCAGGGTATTACAAGGATAGTTCCCTGGAGTGAACATGAACCAATTTAGATTAAGTGCTTCCTTAGAAATTTTAAGAAGTACTCCTTTTTGGTGTAAAATGAACGTAAAAAACAAAAAATATAAAAATGATATAGGTACACTGTAAAAAATAACAATCTCAAGGTCGTCATAAAATATCACTGGGAAAAGTCTTAGCTATACCAGCAATATAGCAGATGATAAAAAACTAATAATGCTCCCAAAAACTTATACCTACCAATTTTCTTGCATTACATTGTTTTTTGGAAAAATGTAGCCGACACTTAATTACAAAAAACCTTCAATAAGAAAAAACATTCTTATTATTTGATGTTCTATCAGCCCCTGAATTTATGGTACTTTTTGTCAAAACACCCAGTATAAAGAAACAATAGTTAGGCAATAGAAAATAATTTTGTTTAATTTATTAATTAAATATAAACTATATTCATCCTAACATATGTAACATATGTATAATTAAAAAAATATATAGATATAAAAGTTTCTAATGTACCTACCTATATTTGTTATAGTTTCAGAAAAAAAATATATTCATTAAAGCAATAAAAAACAAAATGTACACCGTTAATACTAAAAAGTATATACCTATATAAATATACGACTGTAAAGAATTAACAAAATATAAAACAACTTTAAAAATTAGGCAACTAGTATAAATAATTTATCACTTAAAACTTTTAATCTGCGCATACAAAAATATACATTTGGAACTTCACAGCCTAAAAGGCTTTGTCAGTTTTTAAAATTTGCCTTTTTTGTTTGATATTTTGTCGAGGTTTGTATAATAAATAGGGAGCATATCGTTGGGCTAAGGGTCGATATAGCCACTCGTAAAGCATATACTATGTTTTCTTAACAAATCCTGTTGTAGGCGGTGGCTGTAAATTTGAATGAAGTTGAATAGGGCATGTGGGGTCCATACCCACTATACTCGAGCTAGTGAAATCTGTTCCTAATTGCGTAGGAGATGATGAAGGCCGTTCAATTGTCATTGTCTGCTGAGGGATTTGATTATCAGTTGAAAATCCCATAGACGTATAGATTTCTTTTAACATTAGCAATATAGTATCTTCTGATTCCCAGTAACAAACATGACTAGTTAAAGCAAAAATATATTCATTAATGAATTCAAATGGAGCTTCTTGTAGAACGTAATCTACTCTTCTTCCTCTATTCAAACCGCCAAGGGCACCAAGTGGAATATCTGTTACTTCTTGAGTTGGTTCTTCTTCTGCATTTATTTTATTCTCTAATTCATTTTGGAATGCTTTTTGTACTTCTTCTTCCAGTGATGATTGCTCAGGCTTGTGGAACCTGGTAAGCTGATAAAACGAATTCCATGTGCTTTTCATCGAATCCATTACTTTTTGTTTCAAATCAGCCCCAACACGTGCCATTGTTTCCTTCAATTCTGAAAAGTGAACAAGTTCTCATTCCTCATATCTGACTAAATAATATTTAGAATTACCTAGGTGCATTCGCTTCCTTCCTTTATGATGAGGAATTAGCACAGGCTTCAGTTTGCCTAAATCTGGACGGATAAGAGATTCTATACGGTATGCAATTGGATCATAAGGATGAAATATATTAAAGAAGGAAGGACATGTGGGTAAAGAAAAATTTTCACCCAGCGTATCTAGGCCTCTTACGATTACAAACATACCTGAAAATTTTTTAAATTAATTAATTCTATGATCGAATTTTATGACGTTAATGTTTATTTAATGAAATACTATTATTATGTACCTATAGGAGATCCCAAAGCAAAAAATGTTTTAGGCTCAAAATTTAAGTGAGGGTAATAAATCTGTGGTTGGCCCGTCCCTACAGAGCCCATCATGTAACTTATCCTTCTTCTCATTTTCCGCTGAAGAGGTGAAGGTTTTGAAGCTTCTTGTGGTGGGAATATATCATCCTCTGGAACTAAATAAATGATAATTAAAAACAGGTTTTTACTACTAACATTTACAGACCATTCTCGGTTTCATCGTCTTTTTCTTGCTCAGAATGTTGATGGCACAATAAATCAAAAATAATGAGCGATCCTAAACTGTGACCTGCAAGGGACACTCCACCACTGAAAGTTGGATTTCGTTGTTTAAATAAGTCATAAACACGATTTAATTCATTCCCAACGGTAGATATAATAGTTTGACAATACACAGGACTTGTATAAAATAATATATCGAGTAAGGTATCATTTGTAAAATCTCTCAGCTTGGGAATACTTTCCAAAGTTATGCTCTTTAACTGATTATCTATGCCGGTTTCATCAGAATGCAATTTCGAATGCCAACTAATTGGAAGAACTTCTATTCTATTTACAATTCCGTTTTCACAGGATGTTCTATAATGGGATTGCACTAACTGAAGGGCGATGTTACGAAACTCATCCACTACAAAATATTCAGTTAGAAATAAAAAAATTATATAAGAAAATGTGACTTACCCACTTCTTCCACTGCTCTAAATTTAAAATCGCATACAGAACCAATGCCATGAACCATAAATAAAATGTGGTCAACTTGAGATGGTTCACCTTCGTCAATGTCAAATTCATCCATCCCTCGTTTAACAACCCTGGGTCGAGTTTGGTTCTGGGAAAAATAATTATTTATCAGTTTAATATGTGAACGTACATTTATCTCTTAACTTACTGGTGTATTACCCCAGGCGTCTGGTGTTTGAGATGGTGGAAATAATACTAAAACGTCAGGTCCATGTATTACCACTGAATCTCCATTGGCCAACTCCACTTTTCTGTGCCACTGATTCAGTTCGAAGGCTGTTTTAAATTCGTCTTCTAATTTTGTTGCAACATTTTCTTCGTATGGAACTAACCTTCCGTCAGGGCTACTTTTATGAAACCAGGAACACCTCCTTACTTCAGAAGGTGCACCTTTCCAATAGACTGGTGTTCTTTGTCTTCGTAAAATATTCACGTCATATCTACCTCCATCGGTGGCTATAACTTTATCAGGATCTAAATCATCTAAAATTACAAGAAGTTAGAAAACTGTTCTGTAATTATTCAAATTACTTTACTTGATGTAAAAGCTTGTTCTAAAATTAGTGAATCTACCATAGAGAACGGTTGCCAAAGCTTCTTCCCTTCCGTCTCCTTCTGAAAAAACCAGTGATGGTACACAGGTCTGTATACTTGATTTATGGGTACCTAGAAAAGTATATTCTATAATAAATCAGACTTTTTAAAACATCATCGTCTTACATTATTTTCAGATCCAATATTTGTTGGTGCATACATGTTAGTAGAGTTCAGATTGTTATTTTGCAAAGCTTCACTTGCTGGAATGGCATGCATAACAGGACTTTGGTGTTGGGACGAAGGAACAGAAAATAAAGTCGGAGCTTTAAAAGGTTGTAAAAATTGCCCTAATGGCTGTGCTGGTACAGTAGGTAACGGCTGAGGAATTTGTGATTGCACATTTAAACTTGGAGGTGGTGGTGAAATAGGCTTGAACTGATTTGGTAGGTCTTGGTGTAAAAAAGGCTCCTTATTCGAAGGAAATGGTTCAGAAAAATATGTGGCAGCAGTTGGAACAGGTGGCTCTGGTTGTGTTAATGGTACTTGATATGAGGGTACAAATTGTTGTGGTGGCACAGATGGGAGTGGTTCTGGAACTGTAGCTACAACTAGCTGTGAAGAACTTGATACAACTGGTGGTGGAAATACAGGTGTAAATTGTTGTGGTGGCCCAGAAAATACTGATGCTGATGGCTCGACCTGAAAAGATTGAACTGACTGTGCAGATACAGATGGATTTAATTGGGCAGGTACAGGTGGTGCTATATGTGGTGGTAGTAAATTTCCTGCAGATTGATGGCCTTGAGTTATATTTGAGCTAGAAAGACCAGGCACTTTGGCATACGTTGGACGTTTCAGACCTGGTCTTCGGAAAAGATTTACTGGACCTAAAAAGATAGTAGTGTAGTATTATTGAAATCTAAAGCTTGCTAAGCTCGCTACTATATAGGTTTTGAAATAAATAAATATATAAAAACTAAAAAAAAGTTAATAGAGCTTTCAGTTTTTTTCCTTCATTATTCTATACTATTGGAGAATTTAATGAACCAATAAATTGTAAATTACAGAAATTTAACATTGAAAACATATTAAATAGATATTATACTAATATTTATATTCAATTATTGTTTCAGACATTACAAACGAGTGTTTGAAAATATTATTTACCTTGATCAACCTGTGGTTTTGACTGTGGAATTGATAGAGCAGGAAAAAGAGGTACCGGCTCGACGTTGGTATTTTCTTGATTTATAAAACTATCAATTCCAGCTGGTGGTGGTACAACTTCTTCTATGGTGCTGGTGGTGGTATGTTGTGGTCTTAAATTTAAAATATTAGAAAAAGATGAAAACACCGACGACAAATTTGAAGTTTGCTGCGAGGTGTTCGATGACGTTTGTAAATTATTTTGTTGGGTATAATTTTCATATACAGTAGGGACAGGGCCCAGCTGCTCAATTTGTTCAGGTTGTCCCGAATTTGCAGGAGGTGAAGTAGCTATATCTTGAGGACTGCTTCTAGGAATTATTGTACTTAAAAGTTGATCTGAAAATAAATAAAAATGTCAAACTCCCACAAACATATCTGAGACACTGGAAATTCTAAAGTTAGGTATGGAAATACCTATTTTATTTCTAACCTATTTTATTTATCAATATTATCATTTCAGATTTCTTCTAATTTATTGTTTATTTAAAAAATACTCTTTTATGTATTTTATTTAAAAAACTGATCATCCGAAGCTTTTTATTATTTATACTAACGTTATCAAGTACTTTAATTTTATTTAAAATAACTTTTATTAGAAGTGCGATTTTAAATAAATTGTATTAATGAAAAATCATTGATATAGAAATCTTGTATTCTACTAGAGGTAACATAGCCCCAAAAACGCCAAAGATTTTTGTTTAGAAACGCGATTTTAAATGCAATGTCAGGAATTCGAAATTTATAGCACATTGGAAAAACTCAGTGGCATAGAACTTTCGCATTTGTTTTTGGGCCTTTCATTAAAAAAAAATCAATTAAATTTCAACTGGAGTTGTTGAAGTGACACGAATTGAATTTCTCTGTGTGCTCTAAATTTCAAAGTTCCGCCACTGGCAGTTATAATGGAATGCGACATAAAACACCGTGTAGAAAGGAGTGTCATCCGGCTTGAATAAGTATTTATTTAATTTTTGTTAGATAATTAAAGTAGGCTCAATTTTGTGCCTTAGTTTTTAAGGATTAATTTTTAAAGATTACTAAAAAATGTCTATTTGCCAAAACAGTAATCCCATATATTATTAATATCTCATATAGGCAAAAATAACTTGAAAATTAAACTGATAAAACCTAATGTAGTACCCTGTAGCTAGTACGTGATATTTAATTGCACTTAAGGAATATATTGAGAAACATTACTAAATAGTATTGACGAAGCGTGGTATATTGATGGTTTCTTTTTTCCTGAAATATGTAAACAGAAAATGATAACAATAAAGAGGTGTCCTAAATAAATTATACATGCGTTTGTTAAGTATTGAACAACTTCCGACCCTGCCCATTAATTTGTCATCTTTCTCTACAAAAGTTCACACATTTTACAAATGTCTCAGTCTGATATCTATACGTCAAAATGCTGAGATTGTTAGCCGCTGTAATAGCAATACAAACTGTGTCGTCAAATTTAAATACAAGTGACCAAAGTGAAGTAGATATTTTTAGTGACCCTGGAGTACAGTTTGAAAGAATCCAAAACGCCCTTCCTAATCATTCTACTAAAAAATATGAAATAATCAGGAATTTTTTAACTCACTACAATTCTCTTAAACCGGTGGCCGTTTTAGTCGATGACACTAAAGAATCTCATGATGATGCTAACAATTTTTTGGGTCGCGTTTTTGAATTAACTTCTAATGCGAAATATATACCATTTTCTTTACGAATATTCAATACAACAAGTAAGTACCTGAAAGAAAATGTATCTACTGCAGTATAATTATTTAATATAACTGAATTGCAATTTTCAAGGCGTTACTCCACCAGTTGCAGTAAAGGGAAATAAAACCTTCCAAATTTTGCTTGACTATACAGAGGATCGTGGAAAGATGAATCTAGATCCTGCAGAATCCAATGGAACCGCCGCTTTTTTCGCTGTTCTTAACGCTGCTAATGTTTTACCACAGGAAAGCGCTATATTAATTTTCATAGACAGAAAAGTAGCAGACGAGGATTTAGCGCCACATATTGCCCTTCTAAGAAAGAAGAATATCAAGGTAAGTTACTAAAATCTGTATACTGAACAAATAAACATTTTGGTTTGAATTAGGTTTATGTAGTATGGGGTGGATCCTATCCATCTAAATACAGCGAAGATCACTTATTGCGAGAGTTATGTGAATATTCTGGTGGAATCTTTTATGTCGATACTGGCAAAGATTTGTCAGATTACTACTATCGTCAATTTCTGTCTGATAGGAATTCACATCTCAATGCAGTAAGTACCTATCGACATTTTATAACTATTAGTACTAGTATAATATTAAAAACGGTTTCAATTAATATGGGTTTCGTTTATTAAATTTTTAATTGATTTTCGATTTGATAGAATTACCTTGCGTTTAAGAAAGAAAACAAATTTATTAAATGAAGAAAAAATATTTTGCTAAGTTCCAGTTTTAGATGTAATATTGAATTATGCGTATAATTTAACAGCACGTGGCTAACTATGTATTATGTAAACAAAATATAATACAATATTTCATGTGATATCATCAAAATATTTGTGGTTTAAAATAGATTACGTTTCCAAAATAGCACTGTGATATTTAAAATAGACTGATATTTATAGCTCTAACACTAAGAGCATCCAAAAGTATTGCATAGTTTTGAAATATTTTTTTCCAAAATTGCTAAGTATATGATTATTATGTACTCAGCTTTAAAGATAAACGTAGTATTATGATACTAAGCATTATTTGTCAATTTAGTGAAATTATACAAATAACAAATAACAAATATTATGTTGAATGATGCAAAAAGTAGATACTTAAAATGATAAAGTATTCAAATACAACGATTTAGGATAAAATTATTATTGGTTTGGTGTACCTACGTATGCAATTCATGTTAAGATGTGACAGAACCAACTATTGAAATTACATCATAACATAATTAATAAACATATTTATCATCATTATAGAAGGATATAGAGTAAGCTGTTTGACCTTTACCCAAATTAGAATCAAAATACGAAGTAGATACATACTGTAACCATTATATCAGAACACTTGCCAACTAGTACGTTTCATACATTAATAAAAAAAAATACATCATAGTCTATCGCAACATCCTGTGGAAATTTTTAGTTATGCACATGCCAGAAATGTACTGTAAAAAAATTTTCTTGGTCCTTTTTTTTTGTACTATTCAAACAGAAGTTAATCCTGCCTGTTTTTCAGTCGATAATTATGTCAAAAAATAACTTGATGGATGCATCTGAACTTACCTTTCCTATAGATTCGAATGTAACAGGTATTCACGTCAGGATTGCACCATTTGTTTCAAGTGGATCTATCTCAACACCAAAAGGTATAAATAGTCGAGGATTCATTCAACTTTCCAAATTACAGTTTTATTTTTGCAGGTTACGTAATTAACGTTTTAAGAAAGGAAGAAATAGCCCGATATTCAACTGGGTCATTTGATGTTATAGAAACAGGGTTTCATGTATTTCACTTGAACATAACGACGGCACCGACGCACGACGTCGGGATTTGGCGTCTAAAACTCGCTAATACGCTTGCTCCGTATAATGTCACTGTTTTTGCATACACCAAACTCATAGCGCAGGCTTATTTTACACAAAAATATGCAGGTAAGTACTATTAATATTTTTGTATCCATTTCTTAACAAAATACTGAGTGTTTAAGTCTATCTACTTTGTATTGATTATTAGATACGATGAATCACAAATGATTACTCATAAATTCAAAGTGCACAGAGAACATGCCGCATTAATTTAATCGTAATGCAAAAGAACAGGAAATATTTTCTTCTAACAAAAACAAATTATTAACAGAAAAAGCATATATAATAGGATTCACGAAAATTTACTTCAATATAAAATTGAATTGAATTTACTATTACATACACATTTCGTGCACAATGCAATTTTAAATAAGATTTAATCGTGGAAACGAATTTTAAGTGTTTAATTTTACTGATTGCTCAGTAATTTTCAACATTTCAGAAACCATGCCACGTTACTTGAATACTTTACTGATCTTCAAATCAAGTTCATTTAATTCAATTTAATCTCGCACTTTATTAGGGGATACCCTCTGTACTGAGGAAATATTTGTTGTACATGCCAATTAATAATTTTGAAATGTAGGTATCCTTGTTTGTGAACAATATTTTTATCAAAATGTGACCTTATCTTAAATACGTTGGATAAATGTCTTATATAAGGTTTATTACAATTATCAAATTGTCTTAAATTAGAAATCAGTTGCAATTTCAATGCTCTAATTATTTTACTTACGCTTTCGGTCAAGTTCAGTCATTTTTACAAGGAACTAACTATTCAATTTGATTGGTTAAAAGTATATTTTTAATGTACATCCAATACAAATTTCATATTTAGCATCTCATTATCTTATCTATATAATCCAGAAAATATTAATTAAACAAAACATCACTACTTGTACTTACGTATTTGAGCAATGTAACTCTTTTTGTAACGATGGCTCCAGACTTATTGTGTATATTACGTAACTGCATTTTCTGTTACATCGTGCGCTTCAGGTCAAAATATTATTTAAAACTGACACACTTGAAAGATTGTCAAACTTAAATGACTTATTACGATGATTTTGAAGAACAATTTTCAACGTACACATGTAGTTTAGAGATCATACTAAATGAATCAAGTTTTTGTAAAGTGATGTAAACAAACATTGTTTTAGAGTTTTAGACTTTGTCCAGTAAGTGAACATGCGCTATCATGGAAAGAATATTAAAAAACATGACCTTGTTATACTTGAGAATATTACAAAATACAACCACGTTTTTAATTATAATTTTCAAAAAGTTACTTACGTATGAAAGAGCTTATTACCGTTACAGCGTAATTGCAAATTAAGCTTTTTGTTTGTATTTTTTAATCAGTGGGTGCGTTCATGTAATAAAGGTTGCTTGTTTGCTTATAAACCACCAATAATTCTCATCAGTTATCATCACCTCCATTAATTTTAATTTTACTAGTTGAAAATAAAAAAGGTGGATCAAAGGTCATATTAAACGAAACAGAAATTATAAGATAATTAAAACAATCTATTATTGTTGTTGTTATCTCTGTATTAAGTTTTTAAAATTTTGCAAACTTTATGATATTTATAAATCTGCAGTTATATATTTTCAATGTTTGTGATGCGAACTTTGGAAAATATTTTGATTAAAACCCACGTGTCAGGAAAATTAACGTGGAACGTGGAAGTAATATATTTTTAAAAGTTCTTACATTAATAAATACGTATTTGTTTAATTTTGTTTGCGCTGTCTTTAATTACTACCTTAAAGCTTCATAGCCATAATTTTTGTGACAACAGAGCATGGTTTATTTTTTTTCAGACATTATAATAGAAAAACTGTTAGGAAAAGTGTTTATTGTGATAGTATTGTCCCTAGTTCAAGAAAATGTTCCTTATTTAATATTAATATTACTTTTGGAAAATAGGTACCCATTTAGGTACACAACTGGAAATTAGCTAACAACGCCACATGAACAATATTAACAGTCTAATATTATAAACGCTATTATTATTGCTATCATGTCTACTCTGTCGTTACTACTACTATCAATATAATGACAGTTCTAACACAAATATTGCATAACAACTGACGTAAACTCAGGTTTCGTCGACCCTTCTATTCCACGAAATGCTCTACATTCCTTTTCGATAACCTACTTCAATTGATTACTCACCGACTGTGTTTTAGGACATCAGAATTCAACCGGAAGTGACAGAAAAGTTATGAAATTGGGTATATCAGCTTACATCACGTCAATAAGTAATATCAGTTTTGTGGACAAAGACGGTCAACCAATAATTGATAAAACTAAGTACACGTTAGTCAAGGACTCGATAGCAGAAAACAACATTTCCCATCGAGATAGGGAAATCGATGTTGAATTTTACAGCACGCCGGAAAAACCGGCGTATGCTCTAATTCACGGCAAAGATTCAGAAGGTAATGTTTAATTAAAAAATATAGATTGTTAAAACCAAGCTTTTATAAATTATGCCTTTGAAGTTTAGTCACTTGCAAATTATCCAATTAGGAATTCGGGTAGGGCCGTATTATCTCGAATGCGCCTCTAGGCAAATATTTTCTGAAACTGATTTCAGGTTCAGGTTACTCAACAACCTTTGACAATAGCGTATTTTGCTGTGGGGCCTGGATAAATTTTAATTTTGAGCCCCAGATTCAAAATGTTTTACTATAAGAACTTATTCAACTAATTAAAAATGCGTTTTTTGAGTATGCCTACGGCTAATGAACTAGAGTTTGAGATGTGCTTTATTTTTATTTTGTTCGAGTGTGTGTTCCGATTCCTCGACCCAATTTATCAAGATCGATGTCATAAAGAGTAATTACTTAGTCGTACAATCCATTTATAATTACCACGAGGTAGGAGCTCAAAATTTTTTTAAATTGTAATTTCCTGTCAACATGGAGAGAAACTCATACCACGTGTTTTCAACGGTTTCAAATACGTATTAAATATGTTTGGATGTTTTTATATAAGTTTTGGACACTCATGTTTTGCTTTTCTATCTTCTTACTCCTTCCTCGTTCTTAATAATTTTCAGCATTTACTATTGATTGAAAGTTAGTTGGGAGACCAAGCAAATGTCTAAAACATCTCTTTACTCTCTCTTGTATCGGGAGATATGGAGAATAAACATGAATTTAATTAGTAAAAAAGTACTCGTTTTAGGAAATGATTTTTCTCGTTTGACATATATATCGTATAGTTCAAATGAGATTTTTCCTCAACCAACATTAACTATCGAAGTTGGAGCAGGGTCTGAGTTAATTACCACCGGGGGAAAATTTCCGGTGATAATATTTGAGGTAACTAATCACAAGAACACTGCAGTTGACGTCAGATTTACGTGTAAAGATGAGAAATCAATTTTGAGATTTTTGAAACCTTACAGGTAAGTACTCTATGAAGCTTCAATAAAATAACAAGAAAACTTACTAAGAAAACTTTTTCAAGGCAAATTATTGGTCCAGAGGAAACAGCAATAATACGACTAACCCTCATAACAGGGTTTGGTAGTTATGAAGACGAGATAACGTTCACAGCGTGGATTGGATCAGAATTGTTTAAGAAAAAAGTGATAGTTGATGTGAGAAATCAAGCACTTATCGATAACGACAGTCCAGAGTTAGATTACAGTTTTTCTAGTGATTGTTCAAAATTCATTTTTTCAAAATGCAGTGAAGGCACGTGGACAGTTAAAATAACAGCAAAAGACACTGGATCAGGTTTGTTTCTTAAATTTGCATACGTTGAAAATATTGATAATGCTGTACTATTTACAGTTAAGGACACGTGTAACAGTGTCGTAACTATAGTTGAATATTACGGCATGATTGTCACCCAAAAAATTTGTTTTATAGCGGCGTCAGTCATTTATTATCGAAGATATTACATGAGTTAGGACTGTTATTAGACATTAGATTTCGTTGCATGCTGACGGGTTAAGATTTATCAAATTCTTCTTGAAATTAGTAAGCTTTATAAATATTATTATTATTAAATTTACTAGACTTTCGAATATCGATTTCTAAATTACTGTCATTACCAATTTTTTTTTCAAGCTATTATGTGCTTCTTCAATTTAGGAATAAATTTTTATAGGTTTGTTACAAGTTTCCAGCTACCCTAAAGGCTTATATTTTCCCAATGATTATACTACAGGTACTAGAGACGAAGTAACAGGTTACTATAGTGGCTCTTGTTGCAATCCTGACTTCCAAGTTACAGCTTTGGATAGATTAAATAATAGAAAAGTTATAAATACAAACGCATATCGTAAGTTAACAAACATCGTTAATTTAGAAAATTGTATAACAATATTTTGTAAATTTTCAGAGGCTTTTTGGGGACCAGCTCAAATTGCAGCTTTGGTACTAGGCATATTAATTTTTATATCGATAATTGTACTTATTGTTTATATCGTTATAAAATGTAGAAAAGATGGGGATAGTTATAATCTTCCAACTTACAGAGGAGGAAGAATATGACAATTAATTAATTCTATTAGAGATGAACAAGCTTTTTGGTGATGTAATCATATTATTTATCAACTTATGTTTTAACTAAATGGATTATACATATAGGTATACCTATATATACCACTAGTAATTTCTAATTTATAGTCTCGAATATCTTTACTTTTTTAATGCTATTAAATAAATTTATAGTTACATGCAGTTTTTTTATAACTACTATTCCAAAAATTCAGAAAGTACAGTGTTATGAATCTAAAAATATTTACTTACCAGGAGATATATTTAAAGTAGGCGGAGGTGTTTTTTCTTTAGCAGGAAGCAGAATGGCATTTTGTGAGAATTCTTCGAGTGTACCTCCAGTTACAGCTACATTAAATAACGGGTTTATAATTTTCCTCGTACTATCATTCATTTTTGTAATTAATAAATGTGAACAATTTTAACTTCATTCTACAAACAGCTGTTACCTTTAACCACACTGTGCCAACAGTAAGCAGGATGTGTTCATTAGAAAACGCAATATCTACACCATGACAGCAGTAACGTATTTCAACTTTAGACAAATTGAGCTATCTGTCAAGAGATGGCGTGGCAGATACATATCTATAATATTTAACGATTTCAGTAAAACTAAAGTAATTACAAGGAATATTTAAATTGATTCTATATTCAAATTAATATCACCCAACAATGAGTGCGTATATTTCATATCTTTGTAATATTGTCCTTCCTATAAAACTTATAAACATTACACACCGACATTTTTCTATTTAGACACTAGTTTGTATTTGAACAGGTGGTGTAAAAGAAAATTTTATCTATAGGAGTACTTATCCTAATGACATATTAATTTAATATTTACTGAAACATGGCAAGTGTTATCTTTATTTAAAGTAAACATAGGGGTGATATTTTGAGCCCTGGTTAATAAATATTTAGTTAACTAATGCCTCTATTAAAATAATCAACCGATAATGCTCCTCTGGTCTTATTGTTTATATTTATTAATTATTACTAAACACTTAATAAATGTGAATAAACCAAGGCTTCTTATAGGCTCTAGTACCATAGGAACTACATCTCCAACTTAAAGAAGATGCATGTTTTTCAGTTTCTCCTTTTGGTTTGAATGCATTAATGAGCAATTCTTTGTGACTTTAAAATGTTCGGCATTTCTTCAGGACTACAAATTTTTCAACACCATTCGACATTATTTCAAACAAAAATATTAGCAAATTTCGTGATTAGAGCTCTGCCAAAGAAATCTCAAATCAGGTATTTGTATAAATTCATATTTTTGCATCCCTGTTCGTGACGCTCATGGCAGTAACTGAGATGTTATAAAACGACAAGATCAATATTTGGTGCAATATGCTAGAAGAAACCACTTTTAACGCACCTGTCAGTTACTGGACTGATTACTATTGGATAGACCATAAAAAATGTTACTGTGACTTACAGGTTTTCAAAAACTAAAAGGCATGTGCCATGTGTTAGCAAGAATTACTCGAGGGCTAAAATTAAAATATTGCATAATAGGAATAAGAAAAGCTAAAATTTTGGGGGTAACGTTATGGCTGTTATTGGAATGCGTCAGTGCAATTGGAGTGAGTTGACGGGTGTGGTGCGGGTTGACCATTTACAGTATTTTGATTTGCTGAGTCACACCACTGTTGGGACGTCATGCGCTTAGCGTTCTGACGACCTTGCCTTGGTGGTAACGGCCGCTTAAAAGTGAGTCCAGGTCGAAACTTTACTACCCATTTGTAATTCATTAGAAAATTAATAATTTCGTTACACAGCAGAATCTATTTTTATATTTAAGGATGTTGGGACATGGGTTTTTCTCACAAAAAATTAGGATTTAACATAAAGTTTACCACAAATGATAATTCAGGTATGATAAGTTACCAGGGTTTTATAGCACACATTAACAGGTACGACCAAATTCTGAATGCAGTTGTTACAACAATGCGTTGGATGTTGACCTCCTAGTAAAAATGTTAATTAAAAATTTGCATACATAGAAATTACTAGATAATCCTGATCAGTATATGTTCCAATGCTAAAATTACCACATGCCAACACTCACTCAAACGCAAATATACAGAGTGTCTAAAAATGCAGCCACTACATACGTGTCCTGGTGGTTACACAGTGAAAACGTTAAAATTGGCCGCAATTTCGTTGTATTTAAAGAAAGACACAGAAAAAATAAATATGTAATTTTTTTTATTTCTCGCAAAGAATTAAATGAATTTATTAAGTTAATACCTATCGTTAAAAACAAGGAAGTTATCGAATCTAATATTTTCGCCTGATAATTCTGTATAATAAGATCAACTACTATATAAAAATGTTGCAAACAGAAGTTCAGGTGCTTGTGCAGAAATATGGTCCTGATCTGGAACATCTAGTTTAAAATCCGGATCTGGCTGCGCCTGAAGTCTCTTTGTTCAGGAACTCAAAAAGAAACCCCTTAGGAGTATCGCTTTACGGTGGCATTAATGTAGAACAAGAAGCACAAGTGCTTTGAAGTTGGATGAGATTATATTGAAAAATGACATTGTACCTATAGAAATACGTCTTTGTTCTCAAATATACTGCCGTACAATGTTTCTTTTAATTTTATTTAAAATCATCCTCATGTTGTACTGACTGCAAGTGATGATATATAACTAACTGCATTTGTAAGAGATACAAAGAATTGTAGGTTAGGGATGAATGGAGGTGTAACAAATTTGTAAGTAAAAATTTAAAACGAATCTGTATGAAAATAAATTCAGCATTCTCAGTAGCTCTATTTTTATACTTAACACATGAAATCCATCCAGGACGTTTCTCTCAAATTGAATTCGTACGGACAGAGATATTTCTGTATAGTAGTCGTTCCAGGAAAAGTTACGATTCTTAGATCACCAGCTTCGTTTATTTGAAGGGTATTGTATAGAGGAACTGTTGTAGTCATAGGTAATCCCAGTTTTCCGTAGGTAGTTGATGTAATAGTATTTGTTTGACTTTGCCCGGTAATGGGATTTATAGCTGAGCAACGGGATATTGCTAAAATGCAAGACGTTATGTTCTTGTAAAGAATTATTTGTTCTTCTTCCAGATCTGCTGGATTATCCGCACTGGCTTCAGTGTAGCAACGAGCTATCTGAAACATAAAGGTAATTGCTAACATGTAACGATTATTTAAGATTAAAGTTTTACTGGAAAAGGGATTTATCGATAACTGAACATGAATTTTGTTTCAATTTATTTCAAAACCCACGGTTAAAGAGACGGAATAAGACAGTACACATCTAATATTTAACTGCGTCATTTTCTATTGACTTCACGTTACCGGAAATCTGTCCGCCACGATAAAACGTCTACCAAAAGGAAATATATTTACCAATAAGTCAGAGTTTACTCTTCTTATACATCTAACGAAAGCACAATATCCGCTTACGCAGTCTGTACTGGAAGAAGCTGGTGTAACCTGAAATATTTAAAGTATCTGAGCAATGCCTTTGAAAATTATTTGTGTATAAATTAATTTTATGCTTAGAAAGGGACGTACAACGTTTTCAGCAAAAATTGATGGTTTCAAATAAAGATTAACATTATAAATTTGTAGCCGAGACTTATTGACAAAATAAATTATTTCAAGCTGACTAATTTGATTAATATATTAGCTATTTATTTTAAAAATCGTCTGCTTTATAGCACATGAGTAATTTATATTTCGGCTAGAGTATTTTAAGAGGGATTTACATTAAAATAATCATTAAGTTATTACAACTATGAGAAAATTCCTAATATTAGAAAAACAGCATTTAAATCGAGCCCACTGAAAATATAATAACAATTTAAATCAGGTTATCATAAAATGTTTTGAAACTATTATTCTATTTCGTCTTTTCATTACTGCCAATATCATAAATTAACGTTATAGGTTGAATATGACGCAAGGCAACAACTGCAGTTATGCAACGCAGTATTACAAATTTCGAAGTTAGGAAATATCCATAATTCCCTAAGTTGAATTTACTTGAAACATGTTTCACTTACTTCAATGATACCGGCACAATTGTCGTATCTGGTATCGGTCATATACAAACTAGCGCAGTCGAAGAGTCGACTTAATGACGGTTGGTTATTGTTTGATCTAGAAGCCAATGTAAAACATCCCACACAAGCATCAGCCAGAGTCGATTCGTCTTCGTTGGCTATGTTGGTGCACATCGTATTAAAAAGATTGATTAGTTGAGATCTTAAACAAAATTTTCACAGTATTAACTAAATTTACAAACAAATAAATTAAAATATTCCAAGCTTACTCCTTGATGTATGTCTTTAAGAGGTTTGCCTTTGCGTCTGGTATAAACTATTATTTTTAGCTGCCATACATACAGGTAAGTAATTCCCAAAGCGCGACTTATCTACCTTATCTAAATTCGTTAATTTTTCTATTTGAAAGCAAACAATTAATAGATCAAGTAGAATTTAATGTTTGAGTGTAATTAATACAAGCCGTTAAGAGTATTTTAAGCCAACTAGTAATAAACGTATTATGTAAATTAGTATAGACATTTCGCATCACGTTCTGAGTAGAAGACCAGCTGATATCACTAATTACACGTGGTGTGTGCATTCTATTACTTGTTTATCATTCAGATAAACAATTACATTTCCAAATCTATCATGTATTTTTAATGTAGTACTTAAATACAAAATGAAAAAATGGCCGCGGAATTTTTTTTTTTATTAATGAGTTAGAAAATACTTCTCAGACGTAGAATATCTGATTTAAATGTTGGAACGTATCTAAACAAAATAGTGTATAAACTCTGCCAATAAAGTTATCCTGGTATCCATATAACAGCGAACAATACTGGACGTATTGTGAAAGTTTTTCAATAATTAACAATTGTTTTCAAACAAGCTATATTATGAAAACAAACTTTTTCATTAAAACTTTGTCACTATTGAAAATTTTAGCGCGGAATACTTTTGTATAAAAATAATTTTATTTGTACGATGTAAACAAACTTAAAAATAATATAAATTAATTCTAACAAATAACACGCATCAAAATAGGATTTGTGTGAGAAGGGGATAGTTTACTATTCTTTACACTAAATATTCAAAGGCAGTTAATTGACTGAAATCAGTGTTATTTTCTTACATCATGATGGTCAATGTTGTGTTGTCAGTGATTTTTAGATAGATAATGTGACTCAGACATTAGATACTGATCTATCGATTCGATAAATATGAGTTCATTTGTGATACAATTGGAGTACAATTGTTTTTTCCTAGAAACCATTGGACAATCGATTGAAATGTTTACTACATGTTAATACAAAGTTACTGTCGCTGCAAGCTGGTGTGTTGGCAAATTTATGAAATAAAAATTTAAAAACATGTTTGTTTGGAGAATGATAATATATCTAAACAGAATGGTTGATATTGCAAAAATATTGTAATTCATATGAATTTTATAACAATTTATTAGACTTATTTTCTTGATAAAATTATTTATAAACAGAATTTGTGATTTTTGGGAATTATTTTCTGTTTTTCAATTACTCAAATTACATATAATTATACAATCCCATCAAATAGGATGTATATACATAACTATATATATTTTTTATTTGATTATTTTGATTTAATGAGAAATACATTTAGATATTTTATAATTTCTACGCTATAATTTCTACATTATATTCTATTTTTAACACGTCACACGTTATTATTTCATTTGCGATGGATGTTTCTGGTCTGGCAATAATAATATTTCTAAAACCTACACGTGTAACACACTATTCTATATGTATGTAAGTTTGTATTGTTAATGTACGAAATCTGAAACAACCTGTATAGGTACGTCCTTACGTGTTTTCTTCACAATTTGGTTTTGTTTTCGGTTTCAGGTCTTTCTTATAAGCCATAGTATCCTGAAAATCATAATTAAAAAACAATAAATACGTTAATTATAATTTATTATTTTTTTTCTGTAAAATAATGAGATAATTTGAATAATTAAAATTATTATAAGTATGTGAAGTACGCAATAACGTATTAAAAACAACATAATACTGAAACAATTAGTACATAAAAATCATTAATTTTGAATGGTATCATAAGAATTAGATATGGTTCTATTACTTTGTTTAAAAGTTTTTATAGTTAATTTTACCTGTAACATGGTTACAAATATTGATGGAGAAGATTTGTTTTACATGACAGAGCAGTTATTGACCCTTAGCAAAAACATTACTTAAACAAAAAATGTAACTTGGTTGCTGTCCAAAAAAATCATAAGACAAATCAATGTCGACTGAAAATTGTACCGTGAAAGAATGCTAGATACTTGTTTTATAATCCAACAAAAACAGCGCAAATTATGTTCTATGTCGTCACATTTTAGGAACGGAATTAATTATTTACATGTATTAGTGCCTTCTAGTGTACCTTGCTATTTTGTTATCCCTTCTAGTGAAATAAAGTTAAAGTATATTCGGACAAAATGCAGTTGCCAAAGAATTGGTGAGAATTTATTTATCAGTATATAAAATATTTGAGTAGAATTTTCAGTCTTAGAGCTTATGAAAAAGAACATAACTAAAATAACTATAATTTGTTCACTTAAATTTCCGGAATCTTCCCTTTTAAATTAAAATTAAGACCTAAATAACAATTAACTTACCTTGGCTATTAGAGATAAAATAACCAAATAATACACTTTAAACATTGTTGCTAAATACACAAATATAATAAACTTTGTTCTAAATTATAAAATATTATTTATTGCATTATAAACATCCCTCCTCTTAACTAAAATTACATAACAGATTTATTTACATGCCATTTTCAGTAATTGGTTTCATAACATCCGTTTTATATTTCATATTCACTTATATAGCGACAAATATTGCAGTAATGTGATTCATTTACAAGTATTGTGCATTGTGTGAAACACATGCTTATCGCTTTATATTTAAATATAACATTCCACTAATTTAATCGCCCTCATTATTAATTATTTTTATACCCTAACAATTTAGTAATTATTGATAAAGAAGATCCACGAGATTGAATAATAATTTCAGAAACTGTGATGAAAATTTTAATATACTTATACATACATATAATATAAACATAAACATAATTAGTTTGATCTTCCCGAAAAAGCCCTAAATATAATAAAGCCAACAGCCAACGAAACTGGATACTACCAATTGGAATTCAAATGAAACTTCTTAGATGATAAAGATAATAAGGAATATTCTTAAAAATATGTCGATAAAGAAATTTTAGTGTAAATGTATTAAAACCAGTAATTTATTTTCTATTATTTAAATTTTTACTGCATTATTTATTTTATAAGTACCCGCCTTTTAAAAAAGCATCCCAGATGGCTCTGAACACGCGCTGACCATCCGACCCATCCCGAATGTCAACGAACTGCATACAAACTTATTTGATTTTTAGTGTTATTCGTTTGATTTTTAGTGTTGACATCCAGTTATAAAACTGTGTATTATTTTTCATTTAAAAGTAGCCATTGTATTCACGTTGAAAATTAAAACGACCTTAATGTAGTGCAACGTAAACGGTATTAGCATAAGTTATTAAAAAGCGAGGCAATCAAGTGTGCAAAAATTAGGTTATTGTAGTTTACAAAAAACAATGTCGTCTGAGGGTGCCGTGTGTGTTATATCGGTAAATTAACATATATCAGTACGCATAAATATTACTATGTGTGATATTGTGTTCTCGGTAATTGGTTGTGTACAAGAAATTCAGTGTTTACGTTTTCGTTGGGGGGACGCTAACTGCTAAGAAATTTGTTGCAACTCTCATCCTCTTTAAATCTAAAAAGTGTTTGTGTAGCTTCGAACTTTCTTCTGAGAACTCCCCGAAAAGCGGTTCCAGCTAAAAGTAGGTATGTAATATGTACTTATGTCTGTTGGATTTGTTTTTGAACTCTTGAAACTCTATGTCACCGTTGTTAACTTTGTGAATACACAATCATATGAAGATATCCGTAACACAAATTATAAAATCTAAAAAAATCTGTAAATTCTCCCTCCTGAGGTTCTCCTCCTGTTCCTCCTGAGAAATTCCTGAACTTTTTACCCTAAACATTGTATCAATGAAGGTTTTAGATAATAACACGTCAACAAATTATTGTACTCTTATATAGGTCTGTCATATTCTCCGGAGATGGTTCCTTGGATAATTTTAGACCAAAAATCTTTAAGGCATGAAGGCTCTAAAGCCACTGGTTTTCGAGATATACGGCGTTGAATTAAAAAAAAAAAATTAACTATCCCATAAATTGACGGAAATAGGACCAGTGGAAGGTTTGTTTGTATGGATACTGACTTCACAATTAATAAATTATTATTTTTTACAAGCAGCATTAGCATGCATACGAGTATAACTTAAAATAGATGGATTTGAATTAAAAGTACATAATTTTTTCTGATATTGTTCCTCCTTTCAATATTCTTTAAATTTCTGTAATGTCTAGCAAGGGAAAAAAGTTATGAACAAAACAAATTTTGAGTTCTAGGTAAAGTGCCCTCTAGCGGTGCATAATGAAATTTTTCTCTGACTGGTCCAATAGAGCCTCATCTACTTAGTGGGTGTGCCAAATGAGAGAGCAATCGAACTTGAATTAAATAAGTTATTTAAATAGAAAAACAAAAAAAAAATTGAACTTTGACTTGCAAACAATTGACAATTCAAAAAAAATTTCATTACATACTGCTATTATTTTAATCCGTAGTTTCCTGACGGACTTTCAGAACACCCTGTATACAGGGTTACAACTTTTTAATTGTCCAATATCTTTCTTGTTTTAAGAGTTACAGAAATGGTTAAATGAGAAAAAATTTATAGAATTGCTGTTGTTATTGTTATGTAAATAAAAGTTGCCGTGTTAAAAAGTATTAAAATTAAGAAATTTTAAATTAATTTGTAGAAAAAATTCTTTTTTATTAAAATTATAAATATATTCAATATCCTGGATATTTATTGATGAAAACCCCATAAATTATACATGGTTCCCCTTCCTTCTAATGAGGCAAAAATTCAATATGGCGTCCATAACAAAAACAA